ACATTAAGCGTCTGGGAAAGCATCTGCTTGTGTGCAGACGGACATTCTGACGAGATTTGATCTATCTGAGTGATTCGCTGAGCCGTCATTTTGTTTAGACAGCAAAGTAGCCTGCATCGTATTTGTCTACGATGCGGTCTTCTCTGAACTGTCTACTTTGTCGGCTACGTGAGAATTGGAATGGGGCTTAAGATGGCCGCCGTCCATTTAGCTGTCTATTTAGCCGTCTACGGCGAGTATTGGAACACAGCCAGGGTTGCCATGGGTTGGATTGGGTCCCGATATTCTGTTGAAGATTTCCCTTGCATCCCTGAGGAGATTTCCGTGGTGCCGCATCGGTGTCCTTTGAAGGCACATTTCACCTTTGGAAAAAGGAAGAGGAACTGCATGGAAGTCAACCAGGCGCGCGTTTTATTCGCTACACTACGCACGGGGAAAATAATTAAGGAAATACAACAATGAAGAGGGAGAAAAGAACTGCCAGAAATAAGATTCGTCCCACCATACGCCTATAAGTAATGCTGCCACATCGTTCAAAATATCACATGTAAAGAGATAAAACTCGCTGCAATAATATGCTGGGAGGCACCGGGCAATGTGAGGTTACGCCTTGCCCAGCCAAAAATTTTCCCCTACATGAAATTTACTATGGGACGCAGAAACGTTGTGACGGGAAACCCACGATGTTAGCTGCAGGCTCTCGACGCACGTTCAGCGCATGTTTGCTTTGTCATCTGGAGAACTTCCACGTCAAACATTCCGTTTTCTCATTCTCTCCAAGAAACTAATTCCTCACCGGCTATTTCATTTGCCACTGGATTTTATCAATAGGAATTTAACATTGAATCTTTTTTAACAGATCCTTCGAACCAAAATCGTAGCCAAAAACTTGTTGAAGGTCTTGTTGAAGGTCACTTGTTGAAGTTCTTGTAAAACACCTCTTTTTATTATTTGTCCTCGGTAAAGCACCCGCCTCCTTCCAAGAGGGGTGCCCGTACCCTATAGCAACCCCCCCCCCCCCTCTTGGCTGCTGTCCTGCTTCGGCGAGATTCATCGGTTGGTTGAACTCAAGAGGAGTGGCTCAACCCAGCACGGAAGACCGGCCGTAAGTCGTACGACAGTGGGATTTCGAAAAAAAAAGGGGGGGAGAAGGAACGAGCGAGCGTAAAAAGACTATCTTCTTAGGTAAACAAAACGATTAGTTATGGTAACGGGCTATTATGGATTGGTATAAAAAAATGAAAACTAATAATAAATATTGAATGAAAACACGTGAAATAAATAATGAAGAAAATAAGTAACAAGTATATACTTGTGATAATAGAATGGTAATCGTTTTGATTATTTTACATAATTTTATACCACTCCATGTATGTCTCCTGCAATGACCAATGTCGAGGCCCCTAGGGAAAATAAAACCACTTCAGAAAGCTCATGCACATGTTTTCGGGAAGGTGGTGTCAGAAATATTTGCCTTAAATTTCGATACCTGCGGCATTCTGTGTAAAAGTGCTCTACGGTTTCTGCTTGTTTACAACACTAATATTGAGGGGAAGAAGCAAAGTCATGTCTGTATAAATAAATATATAAAGGTGGAATCTTCATCATAATTAAAATTAGTGAGTGTCACTTCAAACTGTCTTGTTGTACACCATGTGATATACCTTGGAAACTCATGTTGCTTAAAATCTGCGCCATTTAGAACAAAATATTTGGTGTGTTTCTGTGATATACAGATTTTTTTTTAAATAGCGCGATTGTATATAGGCAGCAGGGTCTTCGAATATTCACAACGGGGCCCTGAGTTGATGCTCTCACCAGTGTGTCCGCTGCTTCATTTAGAGTTAGTCCAGCGTGACCTGGCACACAAACCAAACGGACAACATGAACATGATTGGACATGTACGTATAAAACTCTTATAAACAAGGCAATGTCTTAGGTAGTGTCAGAACAGTGCAAACGGTCAAAGAATCAGTCAGTGTATGACCATGGAAGAGATTTATGTTGGGAGCTTGCGTGTAGCCAGAATAACTGTCATTAATAATTCTGCCTAGAATATCGGCGTAAAATCTTGCAGTTGGAGTGGAAAAGACCAATTTAATGCTGTTGAATAGATGCCCACTCCTCCTTTCTCGGCACTGACGGAAGCATCTATGGCTATAACTGAACTTATCTGTAGGCTATTGAGGTTGTCTTCGAGCAAACCATGCAAATATTTGATCGGCAAAAGTTTACCATTTTTTGAACTATATAGTAACATTCTATTCTTACCGTAGAATTTATCACCTGTGAGAAACTTGCATCCCAGATTTTGAGTTCTAATGTGTCTAATAAATTTTGCACATAAACGGCTTGAAGTCGATGTAGCCAAGACCACTCACAATGAACAAAAATATGTGGATGGCTCGCTTATAAATACATATTGGGAGCATCTCTGTGGGGAGCCATAGATATTTAAAAATGCTTGCACAGTTATTATACGGAACCAGGTTTGTAGAGAGGACACATATGATTCATGATGAGGAACATTGTTAGCTACAAACTTAGAGAGGCCTAAAAATAGGCGTAATGCCTTACGTTCTATAGATAGAAGAGGGCGTAATATATAAGTGGGTCCCCCACAAAACAACACACATCTGAGCTCTAATACTTGGTGAACATGCACGCAATATATCAACAATGTTGTTCTACGCATTCCAAATCGACCATTGTTGATGCGCCTTAACAAGCCAATAGCACGTAATCCTTTAGACGCAAATTAATGTGTGAACTCAAATTAAGATTTGCAATGTATATAATACCCAAATACTTTCATACAGGTGTCTACCTGTAGAATAATGTCCTGGCCATGCATGAACGTTATTCGCACAGGGGAACTCAATGGGAATTCAAGAAGCGCCCTTTTGTTAACATGGGACCTGCGCAGGTTGCTAAGCCACACTTCAAAGGCATTCAAATATGACTGTGAAAAATTGCACGAGTGTATGCAACTGGAAGCTGAAAAGAATGCCATATCGTGTGCGCAGAGATACACTTGCACATTATCCTGAGCAGGGATAGAGCTTAATATTGTATTGAATAAAATGGATGAAAGAGCAGATCGCTGAGGGGCTCCCCTTGTCTGTGTGTATTTTTCAAGATAGTTCATTACGCGAAAAATAAAATGTGCGCCCATTTAAAAAAATTAATTCATGCAATTTCATATAAGGGAACGTTAACACTTCAAATTTTACTAATTAATATGGCATTCCCCACAATGTCTTGCACCTTTGCGATATCTAAGGTCACCAGAGCGGCGTACTGCTTTCTGTGCCGAACAAGTTTGATTCTAGCTTCCAGGTCAATATGCGCTCACCATATAGAGCACCCAGGTCTGATTACAATTTCAGATTCATTCAATATGTGATTTTGCTCTACCCATTCTTCAAGATGTCGATATAGAACCCGCTCGATCGATTAACTTCACAAGATTGCTCCCAGACATTCTCTATTGAAAAGTTTACAAGTTAACGAAATTGCTGGGAGACAAATCAAACATAATTTTTATAATCGCTGTAGTTATATTATCTGGACCCGGGGATGAAGCTGGCAGTGATTGCGCTACCTCTGATGTCTCTTCTAGTGTTGTTGCCTCATATTCATTAGCTTTTTTTTGTGACCGACAAACGGTGAAGTAGCACCGACGTAAAGCGATCTTCAAATCATTTTCCAATTGCTTCCAGTGACTGCTACAATTCTGGGAGTGATAAACAAATCGATTATATATTTGTTGGTCAACAAACAACCTTTATGTACCGCATGAACCTAAATAGGGCTTTCTTATTTTTTGTCTCCGACATATAACCGTAGTGTGTGAAGTTGTAATCTTCTTTTGCTTTGTGAACCGTTTGTCTGAATGTTGCAGCAAAACATTTATAGTCTTTCCAATTACATAAACACTGGTTGTAAAATAATTTTCTCCAAGCTGCCTTTCGTCGCCTATAGTCATGATCACCATCAGCGTTCCACCATGGTGAATGAGTTCTACTTGTAGTGGACTGCATGCCTGCTGAATTCGGCGTTATTCAGTTTTATTATTATTATTATTATTATTATTATTATTATTATTATTATTATTATTATTATTATTATTATTATTATTATTATTATTATTATTATTATTATTATTATTATTATCATATTACGTCCACTGTAGGACAAAGGCATCTCTCATGATACGCCAGTCAACTCTGTCCAACGATCGACGCAGTAGCCGTGTACATTGCAAGAGTAATCCAATACTTTCTATTCTCAGACGTGTACGAGTGTGCAAATATTAAAGCAACAAGTGAAAACGATTTTACAGATCGTGAAATGAGCGCTTCAATAACGTTCAATAATAACGTTCAATAACTTTCAATAAGTAACGCAATGTATAGAAACGTACACACGCCTACGTGATACAGTAACATTCCGCAATCTAAATATGGCGCCGAACTGAAATGCGGCGCTCGCTTTGATATGTTTACAAAGTGCTCCGAAACTTGTGCAACGCACTTGCAACATGCACATGAGTATCGCGGTGAGAATCGAATATGCGCATACTTGTGATCCGGCAACGTGGCCAGCTAAACGTTCTGTATGTCAACCTTGCACTACGTTGAAGCCACTGCAAGTGTACCGCTTAACGCGTGTGGAAGTTCACTTTTATAATGTTGATGCAGAAAAAAAAGTCATCATACGTAAAAAAATCTACTAAACCATGCATGGTATCCGTGTGCTGAGAAACGTGAGAAATATTCAGAAACCCGCCAGTCGAAAACTAAGATTTTGCAGTCACAATTAGACGTTACCAAGCCGTATATGTTGAGGGTTTTTCCCCCAGTGGTTCAGTCCAGAATACATTTAATTCGGTTGGAGTAGACAGGAGCGCAATACATTATTCGTGAGACACGTACTTCACGCCCTAATTTCAAGTAAACAGAAGTAAAAAGGGACTGCGCTTTACAGCAAAGTGTCGCTATAAGAAGGGACACCTTTCCCTGGGGTTCATGGGCGCCTTCTCCGGGCACCTGAAAGCAACGGCGAACTTGCTCGACTGGCGAACTGGAATGTTGCATGCATCGCCGTTGCTGTCGATGGCACATGTAATGAGGCAGTACGACATGAAGAACACCTGATCGTCGCTGTACTTCTCGAGACCCTTGATACGGAAGATGTCCACTGTTTTTCTAACCTTAATGGCCGACCGGTACGCATCGTACGAGGTCCTCAGGCCGAGCGCAGCCCAGAACAGCGGACTGGCGAAAGCGGCGCCACTGTCTGAGCGAGACCTGCCGGCTCCGAGGTCGCACTTGAGGCGCCTCTCGTACTCTTTGCGGTCCGCGATCCACCACGGAGCCACCTCTCCTCTGTCGAACACTATTCCTCGCTCGTCGAAAGCCCGAGCCATGGAAGAGGCCATCAGCGTGCCCATCGAACCGTACGTGCTGGAGAACGTGCTGTCGACGTGGAACATCGGCGATTCGAGCGCTCCGACTGCGAAGTAGACAGTGTTGTAATAGTAGCTGTACGAGGTGGCCACATGACCGTCACCTAGCGTTTTGGAGAAGGCATTGACGAAGTCGTCCGACGATAGCTTCTTGCGGAACGACTTCGCTATGTTGACAAAGTTATCGAAAAACGAGCTCGTGGCGTTCGGGAAATGCTTGTACACTGCCGCGATAGCGAAGTTGGAGAAGAATTCGCTTCCGGGCAGGGAGTTGAGGGTTAAGCTTTCCGAGACCTTGGCTTTGAGCTTTGTCTTGACTGACTCATCGATCCAATCGGCATCAGCGAAGGCTCGCTGGTAAGCAGCCTTGATGGTCTTGAAGACGGTGTCTATATGGAGGCGCACATCATCCGTGAATCGCTTGAGCAGATGATCGTGCGAGACGACCAGCCCGAACGTGGACGCCACGTGCGAAAGGCAGGCGTACTTTTCCCTCACCTCGAGCTCTTCTGCGGAGCCCTCGAAGAGCAGATGCGGTTTTCCAACGACTGTCCAGAAGGTCAAGTAAACAAACACCCATGCGATACCCAGACGGAGCGATTTGTCCGACATGCTCTCCAACAGGTGACCGATGTTGTCGAGTATGGCCGGGTGCTGGATCAGCACGACGTCTTCGGGTCGCCAGACGAAGTCTGGAAGGGTCTCCTTCATGTATTCCTCCCACTTGTCTTTCCCAGACTCCGTTCGCTCGTTGATTTCCTTAAGCGTCGTCTTCTCTTCATCCCTCGCGTCTGGTTCAAAACTTAGGGACGCGTTGACCACTGCCAGGTACGCCTTCATTATCTCCTTCAAGAGTACCGGCGTTGGCGCCTGCGCTCTCAAGAACTGGCAGTGTTCTTCAATGGACCGCTTCATTTCGTCGGGCTTGTAGACGGACCATGAGGGACCAAGCACTCCACGCTGGAGGAAGATAGACCTGGGCCGGCCCTTGTATCCCGGGATGACACGCACATTGAATATTAAGTTGACGTTCCAATTAACAGTCAAATTTACCAGCACCTTCAGTGGAGGCATGGCGACATTGCTTTTCTCAGGCCATTCCTCTGGCCACAGAAGTCCTAGGTCTCGCTTGAACTTTGCGAACTTCTGGATCTCACTTTGAAGCAAATCGTCGGACCGTTTGGCGGTGCAACTCTGGTAGTAACGCTGCGCAATTGGAAGTACAGACTTGCTAACGTTCTCTTCCAACTCCTTGATGGCGATGGCGAAGGATTTGGCGAATATCTGCTCGATCATGGAACGATAGGGACCTCGGGGCTTCCACGAGCCGCACGAGAAGCGGTAGAAGTCTGAACACGGCTTCACCGAAGCATTCATGGCATTGAGAATCGCCTCCGCTTGTGCTATGCAGCCCGCTGTCGTGCATGTGCCCACTATTGGGGCTCGCAAGTACTGCAGTATAAGCAAGGTGGAGCTGAGTACCAAGATGCAGCTCAATACCGACACTGTTACGAAGGCCACCACAGCTGTCCGCGTAGGAGCCGCAGGTGCTGGCGGTGACAGCTCCTGAAAAAAAAGGCGAAAAAAAGAGACAAATTTCTTAATAAACCAGACATTTAGACATCAAGGAAACACTGCAACAAAACATAAAAACACAAAAACAAAACACAAAAAATTGCGAGTTCTAAACATAAAAAGTAATATCGTTGCTTGCAAATATTCTTGAAAAGTTAGCGCAGCTTCCACCAAGTATAGCGCAAAGCTTTGTTAGAGCTGTGTAACACATCGTTGGCGCAAACTTTCAAGTTTGCGCCATTGATGTTTTACACAGCTACACACCAACTAGTCCGACAGCATACGTTACTCACTTTGTTAGAGCAAATGTGGTGGGCAACTAGATGGTCCTGGTTCGGCTTGCCATTTACCCCCTCTCCTGTCTCTTTTCCACTCCTTCCTATGCCATACTGTACTGTGTACTATGATATACAACAATATACACGGCTATGCTTGGTCTATTTTTATTTTTTAAGATTGTGATCTCCTTACTTCTCTATCTGTCTTTTTATCTCTTTCTCCCTTTCTCTCATTTCTTTCTCTTCATGTCTGTCTTGTTCTCTCTCTGCAAATTTTTTTCTTGTCAATTTCAGTCTCTCCCTCTAATCTGTCCTTCTCGCCCTCTTTTTCCTTGCCCACCACCTTGCTATACACATTATACAAAACTATGCTATGTTTTGCTATTATGCCTGGATAGCCGAGTTGTTACGGCGATCGCATTCGGATATGGGGACACGGGCTCGAGTGCCGCCACGCCTGGAGATATTCACTTCCTTCATTCTTGTTTCTATTTTTTTTTCCTCTCTTTCTTTCTCTCTCGCTGAACTCCGCCCTCTCCCTCATCAGAGTTATTGCATCCCATGCAATACAAAACAGCGCATGTGTTCTGGAAGCAAAGTTGAAAATGAAGTGGACGAAGAGCGCGCGTGCTGGTTCATGGTGAGTGATCATTTTCTATCTTAGGCACACGTGAAACCTCGGCCATAATAGATGCGCCGTAAAACAAACGCTCATCCCAACCTAATGGGACCATGTTTCATAAGGGGATAGAGTCGGAGCATCCTTTCTTACTCAGCAGAGATGGAGATAAAACTACGATAACTGCAACTAGACATCTTCGTAACAGTGAAATGTTGGGGAAACGCCTCAGCTGTTGCACTTTGTCGATATATGAGGCAAAGCTTATGAAAGAGACATGCATGCTCGTCTCGGCAGCGGCGATGAGACCTTCAGCTTCAGAGGCGCGTACGGTAGGATCCGCTTGATGGATCTACTTCGCTGCTACTTCGGAGGCGCAAACCTTTCGATTCCGGCGTCGGTGCCACTGAGCTTCGGCTCGAACAGCTCGTTTAGCGGTAGCGGTGGTTGTGGCGCCAACCTCGGGCCCAAACCTTCTTTGCTCCCGCAAGTCTTGCCCTCTTGCACACCGGTATGTGTACTCGCTGGCCTGCCGATCATGTGGCAGCTCGGCATGGATCATGTGGCATGGATCATGTGGCCAACTATGTTGATATATTTTTCTCGTGCCCGAGACTCTTGCTCCCTGCCTCTATGCACCTAAGTGTCCTCAGCGGTGGGAGGCCGCTTTGTCCAGCACCAGGCCGGATCTCTAACTTCGACTGGTGACTTTGCAATGGGCAGAAGAAATCGCGGCTAGGTACGGCCTGGACGTCACTACCGGCAGCCTGAAGGCCACCCACAAAGTTGTTATTTTTAATGTTTTTTTTTCCTTCGCACCACCACCAGACGAAACGTTTTAACACGAAAGTGCTTCATGCTAGGTTCCACCATGACTCCGTGACTTATTTCCGTCACAAATATTTAATAACAGATGGCAAAGAACGAACCGGCGACCTCGCGTTTCACAGCGCGCGACGCTAACCGCTAAGCGACCTTTCTCCAACAAGTTAACGGCGAGCCATTTGTATACACGACGTACCGCTGGTGGTCCTCGGAGCTTGGCAACTTCAGCGCGTTTTCCTCATCAGTAGCGAGATGGCGCGACGGGCACGCGCTGGACGCGTGCGCTCTGAAGATTGTCCTGCCGCGCCACCCCGCACGTCGCTGTGCACGTGCGGCCTCTACATGGCGGGGTCGAAGTGCGCCTAGATGTTCTCTATTGTGTGGTGGCTCACTCGCGCTCGCACTGATCTTGGCATTCTGGCGCTTTGTCCCCCTTCTGCTTCGACCGCAAGCTTGTTTTGAAGTTACAGTAGTTAAAGAGAGAACGAACGTCATTTTCTCTCACTGCCGCGGCCGCGTTTACGACAGGAGCGCGCTGCTCAAACACGAAGAAGTAATTCGCGCTCGTCCTGTGTTTACCTGTGCGTTCATTTCATGCGTATTTCTGTTTGAGCAGCGTGCTTTAAGTGTCATGCCGTGAGAGTTGTTTGTCCGTGCTCGTCCTGTGTTTTCTCATTTCATTCGTGCTTTCTGCTTGTGTGTGCTGCAAATTTCGAGCTAATTGCCGTTCTTCGCGTGACCATGCAATTTGTTACAGTAGCATTAGCCCCTTCGCCCTTGTGACGAAACGATGCGCAATTGAGGCTCAACTACAAGGACACGTTTCACTTTCGTTACACCAATTTATAAAAAAAAGGAATCAGCCACTTTGGAGGGGGGGGGGGGGGGGGAGAGGTGTTGTGACGCTCATTGTTCAAAAAGTACTGGTTGTGTCTATTCTGTATCATGATCAAGAGAAAGCTTTTGGTAATGTGACTTGCATGGACAAAGTGTTCCGCTGTACATTGCATCGATGCGTGGGAGCGTTCCACGGCAGTCGCTGTGGAGAGACGTCTACTCATGCACCGCTATACGAGTATTTGAGTTACCTATTATTTCAGTGTTGGACGCGCTGCCTGAAGAACTCATAACCGATCGAATCATAGCTGAACTGGGCACGCTACTCCGGGGCCACCTTTTAGCCATGACAGAGGCACATTTTCACATTTGTTTATGCAGCAATTGTTCCCCTTCTTTGAAAGGATTCGAAGCGTCGCGGGAAATAAAATTTCTCGGAGCGCCAGACTGTGCATATATATGTCGTAAGCCACCCATGTGATCAGGGGATCAGTATCGGTGCAGAACTTCATTGAACGTTTGTATGACGAAAAGCGGAAAATTTGTCGATGAATAACTACACCAACAAAATAGGCACTGGACTGACTGGAAGACAAGCGAACACATGCTTTACGTTCAGCCCTGTGCTCCTTTCGTCGGAGTAGTTCACGATGAAAAAAAAATTGTGGAGCACTCTCGAGAGGGGCGAAGGACAGGAGGAACAGAAAGAACAATTGTTGACTATCAACTAAAGTTTATTTCGAAAAGCAAGGACAAACGAACAAAGAAGGAAAACGAGGCCGAAATCGCCCATCCGGGGAGCCGGAAGATTAGCACACACTTCAATAACAAAAATACTGCGACACGTAGCAATCATTCATCGACAATTTTCCCGCTCTTCATCCTGTAGGAATGCCACCCCAACCAACCCAGCGGTTCAAGCTCCTCCCCTGAACGCTTTGTAGGCCATTGATGACCCGACTTCCATTTGTTTGATATATCAAGTTCTTAATGGTGCTTCTACTAAATGAAAGTGGATTTCCTTGGCTTCCTCTCACCTGTTGGTTGGCCGCCGCTTGCTTGTCGGACGTCTGCTTGTCCTGCGTAGAAAGGAACGGGAAATGAAAAAAATGCCCAACTCTTTAAATGTCGGACACGTATCCACACAAACGTCCGCATATCGCATTCGGTATTCTTCACTGCTCTCAACCAATTCAACGGAATCTACCTTTTCTATTTCTCTGTGCTGCACTCTGGCGTTTTGGTCGGGGCCGGGAGAACTGGCGCTGCTAGAACGGATTCCTCCACGACTAACAGGCATTTCCCGACTTCTCCGCTAGAGAAAGGCGCATGCACCGTGGCACCGTGACGAAGGCTGATTGGCCAATCAAAGGGCTTCCCACCAGACCTTTTGGAGAATTCAGCTTAACTGGAGGAAAGTGTAAAAGGAGTGCCAGGAAATTGCTTTACGGAAAGATTTTGTTTAATCGGTATGAAAACAATTTTTCTTACGAATAATTTCATTCGTGGACACGTAAGAAGACGTTTATACTGACCATGCTTTCAGAAGGCCAGATTCGTAGCCATATCGGACACTTGCTCCCGTTGAAATAAACAAGGCCGCGGGGGAAAGAGGGGTTGTCCTCTGGGAATTTGGGGGGGGGGGGCTGATTCAAAAGGAATCAACCCTAGATTTTTTTAAAATTATGCATGCGGATATATGCACGCACACCTATAAACACGCGCACTAACATAACAGGGTGGTTCACTTGCATGCGCCGTGGTACATGAGCAGCGCCACACCTTCAATAAATGAGCTCGCATCACTGCCGCTAAAGTTACATGACTGCCAGTGTACTTTGAGGTCGAGGTTTCATCAAATGTTTTATGAGGGGCAAGACAAATATTCAAGGAAGTATTTATTGCAGGTGTAAGGAAAACGAACAAAGCTTTCACATCGATGTCCATTATGAAGTACCTAAGTACCTCGGCAATTACTGATGAGTAAATAAATAAGCAAATAAACAAACAACTGAATTTCGCGTCGTCATTTGGCGTGTTTGAAGAAATCAGAAGTCGGCTGTTACCATGTCCCCCAGGAAGCGAGCTTTACTGCCATAACAAACTCTCAATCGTTGCCTAATCTGGACCATGGCCTAGGTAAAGGGTTGGTGTGTAACTTTCGAAGTAACTTCAACCTGTAATCATAGTAACCATCACGAATATAAAAAAAATATTTTCGTTAATTAAACCTTTTCGCACACCTCTGACCATGGTATTCCGTAGAAACGCCTACTCTGTGCCCTGGACATTACTGGTATGTTTCACCGCAAAATACTAAATAGTGCGGCAAAACAAGCCTTCTGGGACGTTTCATTTCTCACTGGAACTGGGGGCTGCAATTCTACACCTTCAAAGCACTCATATGTCTTGTCCCGGCTCATTGAATCTGGCTATGCTGATGTGCAGTGCTGATTGACCAAAGTTTAAAGCTTATTGAGTTTTAATAGGAGCATGACACTTAGCAGCGCGACGTTTGGTCAGTATTGGAAATGGCAATGTATGTGCTCGTGTCGGCAACATAAAATGATACCAAAAAAAAAAATGCTTCCACCGGATTAAACGTTTGACAGAACCTGCTTGGGATCAGGTTAGTTACCATCGGTAAGAAAACAATACATGTTTTAAATAATATACTAGAAATTTTTAATTTTTACGCACCAAAATTGTTATCTGACGAGGCTGGTGCAGAGCGCACATGGTCTTTTTTTATGTGGTGGTCGTGGATCTGATTATGAGCGGCGCATCTGGGACGGAAACAAACCGATTACTGTGTACCGAGCTTGAAGTGTACATGGGTGTTCTTTCATAGCGGCTAAATAGTACTATGACAGCATAGATAAGGATAAAATCAGATAGCTATTATATACAATAATCTCAGCAGATAACTCATTATACCAGCTGATAAATAAGCTGATAAAAAGAACCTGCGTCATAGTCGAATTCAAAGGGGGCATATGGATGATGAACCTGTTTGAATGCAGATACATGCATGCAAAAATGCGCACGGAGAATCGAAATAAATGTGAACGGTGTGGTGCACTGTTTTCATGACGCCACGGTTGTATCATGGATGACTTTAGTGCCCTTGTGTGACCATTCAGGCTTCAACGGCTTGACAAGAAATGCGAAACGGCAGGGAATGTAGATGCCACACTGTTCGCATTTCTTTCCACTCCCACTGTACATAAATGGGAAGGTGGGAGGAGGGGGGTCCGACTGAAGTTTCACTTGATAAGCATGGACAGCTGGGCGAGAAAAAAAGAAAGAAAGAAAGAAAGAAAGAGAAAGAAAGAAAGAAAGAAAGAAGAAAGAAAGAAAGAAAGAAAGAAAAGAAAAGAAAAGAAAAAAGAAGAAAGAAAGAAAGAAAGAAGAAAGAAAGAAAGAAAGAAAGAAAGAAAGAAAGGAACTGTTGTGCTTTGATATCTCCTCTAGATAACCCTCTATTGAAAGTATGAACGTTAGGCGTAAAGTGTTTTTTTTTTTTTTGAAAGCTTAAAAGCAAAGAACTGGACTCACCTTTACAGATTCCACACCAATTTCTTCCTTGCGTTTGTCCCGCTGCTTTCCTGGCTTGTCCGCGATCTTCTGCGCTCGAACAAATGAAGCAATAAATTTATTAGCATTAAAACAGCAACGCGTAGTTTTACATGTTCTGTTTCTGGAGTTTGAGCCGTACAATGAAAAATTGGCTCAGTACGCCAGATTCGGGTGGAAAAATTATTGATACGGACGCGGTGACGTTGTACTTTAAATGCAGGGCCATGGTTAACGAACACAACACGAAATTACTGTGTGTTGTGTTTGCGAGTGGATGTGACTTTTTTTGTTTTTTCCCAATGTCTGTACGTCTCTTGTGATTTCTTCCATCCTAATGTAGACTACCTAACTGCACTTCGCTCTGGTTAACCACCCCACCTCTTTTTTTTTTATCTTTCTCTCTGTTCCAAGCCCATATGCTCAAACTGGGATGATTACTTACCGAACCCTGTAAGCATATGTATTATTGGTTTTATGTGACAGTTTTCCCCGATACCGCAGTGTTATCTGATATCTTGATCTCAAAAATACTGATACGCCATGCGATAAAGCGTCGAAAAGCAGAAGTTTTGTCAACAGCGTATAGCTTTCTCTCTGTGTGTAATGGCTACACGGTTTTACGCCTCAAAATTACAATATGATTGCGAGGGGACGATCGATATAGCGGGGGTCTCCGAAAATTTCTCACCGTCTGTTCTTCTTCCACCTGCAACCGATTTTTAAATGTACGGGCCTGAAGCATTTCGCCTTTATTGAAATGCGGCCACCGCGGCTGGGATTCGATCCCTGAATCTTCGCATCAGCTGTTGGCCGCCGTAACCGCTAGATCATCATGGCAGGTTTCCGAAAGAAGCTGCTGACAGGAACCCAATGCCGCAATGGCAGGTACTCATCAGGTCCCCCTAATTGAGCATTAAGCACACCTCGCGACTTATTGTCCAACGAATGTCGCGTCCAAAGGCTACGCGCGTGCATCGAAGCAAGTTCATATATGAAGTTTGAGGCTTTAAGTGATGAGAGTTTGCTGTATAGGGCTGGAATATTTCGCAGGAGCCAACCTTTAGACTAGATCTTCGTTCTGATAAGTATCGAAGACGACGAGTCATTCTGTCACGAGGGGCGTAACCAGGGGGTGGCACAATGGGCCCGTGCCTCCCTCCCCCTTCGCCATGGCATAGAGAGTGAAAGATGGCTATTTAAAAGGGGTGCCCTCCCCAAAAATCAAGGAGGCGCCTCCCTTCCTCCGAAAAACATTTCTGGCTACGCGCCTGTCTGTCGCGATACACAGGCTCCAGCGAAAGTCTTTGTTCGAAGAATTCTGGTCTCGAATGCACTACTCATGCATGGCATCCGCACCTTGCCTCTCATCATGGGATGCCGCAGCTGTGTCTGGCGCTTCTTCTTCTGCTGTTGCTGCTGCTGCTGGTCGCCACCCCGACCCTTCTCAGTCTTGCTGTCCACGGGCAACTTGTTCTCCATGACGCCGAGGTGCCCTTGACCATCAACAGCTCTCGAATAGGGACATCCAGGGCGTAGTACGGTGCTCTGAAAAACAGAGCTCGAGGCTGTGCCGCGAGAGCAGCACGAGCTAATAGGGATGATGATGATGATCACAAAAACCGTGACAACCCAGATTTTAACAGTACTTTGGTTTGGGCGAGTTGGTCCACCATTAGAAGAAACTTGAAAAGCGCAAACGACAAAGACGAAAAAAATAGGACAAAAAAAAGCCGCCCACATCATCTCACGGGGAACTCTAGTAAATGTGTCGCAGAGTGGTGGGGGTATCACGTGAATGTTGCGTTATTGGGTATGGTTTCTTTAAAGCCGAATTGTTATTTCGTCTTTATTATTCTTATTTATTGAGTGAGGGAAAAGCTTTGCCTTCATCGAGTGGTGGGACGCTGATGTTGGGTCGTGCCCCACTACTGGTTGAAGGTACTGTTGCTTCCATCGCATCTACTCGAGTCAAGCAAAGTGTCAAGTCAAGCAAAATTTAAGTAAAGACGCCCTTGACTGAATTTCAAACGCGCGCTCCACCGCTTATAGACACACCGCCCGCGTTTCGAGGGAGAGACGTATGGGGGAGAGGTCCGCCCTTCCACTACCCATGTTCGGCTTGCTGAACGCCCAGTGGTGTCTCATCTTTTAATGGCTCCGGGAACGACAGTTTTGCGGGTATAGGTCGCAGGTGCACATTCAAGTTGGGGATATTGCGTGCCCCGGTAGAGGATATTTTTCAAACACAGCTGACAGGACAAAGTCTCCGCAGAGCACGCGTTGTTGTCTGGAGCGGCGCCAAGAGGTCTAAAGGCCGCGGGTGGGCTGGAGTACCCCGAAATTCTCGCAATCACCCTCCCCCCCCCCCCTGTTGTCCACACAAAAGTAAGCATAGTCAAAAACAAAGCATAAGTTCTGCGCCTCCTCTACATGGCAAACTAAGCGCTGCAGAGGCGACCGTGCTATGAAGGCTACATCATCAGCCTCTGCACCAGCGCCTCCTCTATAGGAGGCGGTGACTGCTCCCATGTTCCGCCCATGTGAGAGGTAGTAGCCCACGGAGGAAGAAAAGTAACCTTTCCTTCCTCCGTGTAGTGACCATCATAGAGGTAGCCATACACTGCACCAGGGTGGCTAATTTTTCTCTGGTGAGGAAGTGTGTTACCGGAGGTGGTCACCGGTGCAGCCTAGGCATTTTAATGTAATTCCATTATCACGCGGATATTTTTTAAATCTGGTTGGGAACGGCCCAGCACCGGGATTCAAACCACGGACCTTATTTGCTCGCGAGGCTATACGCCATCGCGGCATCCCTATGAAGGCTACAGACGAACACCTTACATCTCCACCTGATCTACCCCACGGCGTACAAAGACATTCGTCCGTGTTGTTGAACCACACCAGTACTTTTTCTTATAAGAAACTATATTCTCGTTGTCACGCATCCACGATGTTACGTTTCATTACTCTGTCATTTAGAATCACTGCGCATCATGGAGGAAGGAACAAACTTTCCTTCCTCCATGCTGTGCGTAATCGGTTGGCAGCCTTGACCGCAGGCCGACATGCTAGCCAAGCGTAGCCAAGCCAAGTGGCGCCAGTTTGTTGGCGCGGAAGGCGGTGCATAAACGCGCGGTTTCAGACTTGTGGCGTATTTTGTCGAGCATGAAATGAAACTTCTCAGCTGGAATGTCAATGGACTTCGGTCCTTCAAAAATAGCGTAAAAGATGTGCTGCGAGATCTGGATGCGGACATCGTTTGCTTTCAAGAAACAAAGGCAACCCGTAAGAAAAACATTCCTCTGGAAGAACCATTTTGATGTTCTGACACCGCGTTGTTTTCCCGATAGAGGTGTTCATAAAAGAACATTAGCTGTTTAAGAATTATCTAGGTCATCCATTATACAAGCTAGATACCTTGTGGCGCAAAGTACTGCTCTAACGATCTGTGAACAGTGTCTGTTTTACAAGTTAGCTTGTATGCTAAACCAATCCGAGTCGTGTACAGTTAACCAAGCGCTTCGATGTTACGTTTAATTTCACCGCAGGCTCCGTTTTGGAAGAGAGCTGGGCAATCGTCGATGGCTACAGCTCCTACTTCTCGTTCCCGCGTCACCAGAGTGGTTACTCTGGCGTGGCAACGTACTGCAAGGACAGCTGTCGCCCGTTTGCGGCTGAGGAAGGACTGACCGATCTGTGGTCCAGTGCTCATCGTGGCGACCGCGTAGGTTCGTACGGCGACACCGTGGTTTTCGACAGCAAGTTCCTCAGCACAGTCGACGGCGAAGGGCGTGCCGTGTTGACGTTGCACCACGCAGTGTGAGTCGACGTATTCGATAGGTAGCCATTGGGAATGAAAGCGACACTTGCTATTCGCTCGACACGTAAGGCCGAAAAGTATGGTTGACCAGATGTTCTCTGCGAACACATCACGCAAAGAGTGGGCTGAACTTTATGGCACTGTAAAAATGAGGGCCAAATTTCTCTTTTGGGACGGTAGGGTGTGGGGTCAACTACCATGCATGTGGCGTTCGTATGCGTGCGTGCAAAATTGAAAAGTTTCAGTTAATGGGGGTGAAGGTGATTCGAAAGAGTAACCACTTAAGCAGATCTTTGTCTTTGCAAATGACTGTTGTTTTTTGTCAACCTATCCGTCTACGACCGTTTCAAGAAAACTAATATTCAACAACTTTGAATAGTGGCTTCTTGAATTGAATACAAACTAAACTGCCGTGACTCCTTGATTGATACTATTCAATGTTGCAAATATTTGCATGCCCAAATTCTAGGGGAACACATTAACTAACATTCTGATAAGTATTAATGCTAGATTAGTCTCAATGCTAATTCTTTTGTTCTGTGGGTTACATTGTGTGCATGTGTTCATTTAGGTTTGGTAAAGATACAAAGAGAGTTGCTGTCATCAACGTATACTGCCCACGTGCTGACCCTGAAAGGCCTGAACGTGGTCAGATGAAGCTGGACTTCTATAATTTACTTGAACTACGAGCAAAGGCACTGTTGGAAGAAGGGGTGTAAGTTTTTGTGCAGTTTTTTTTATACATATCGTTTGTATTCAAAGTTTGAAGACTTCAGTGTTTGGTATGGAAACGCAGGGAAGTGATCATACTGGGTGACCTCAACACCTCGCACTGTAAGATTGATCACTGCGACCCATCGGAGGATGAGGTAAACTTAAATCAAAGTTATTCGAAAGTTGAGCAATAGATTCACATGTGGCGCTCACTTGTGCAGGACTTTTACACAAACCCGGGACGCCAGTGGCTGAGCAAGTTTCTCCTGTGTGGGGATGGCCCAAATGCCCCTGAAGCAACAGCAGGTACAGTGATGTTGGCATTCCCCCTGCTGATGGTGTCATGGGACATAACTCATCAATGTTCAACAAGGTTACACAGTAATATACTCCCGTCAAACACAAGTCTAAAACATGGCAGCCAACTCTCTTTGGAATGTCTGATGGCGATGACTATGACATGACACCCTTAATGTTAGTGGCAGCACGAAATCTGAAGGAATTTGCTGTTTCTGTCATCAACTTCCCACATTTTACAGTCTGGGCTCCCACGTTCAACTAGCATAGACTTGTGTGATGCGAGTCTACCTAATTTTAGATGAAGAGTGACTGCACTATTACAATGTGTAAATGGTGCCCACATTTATAAGAGAGATAACATGTATTACTCTCATGCGTTGTTCTGGCTGGAGTATGTATTTTGCCATTTCTACCTTTTCAATTTAGTGCTGTACTTGCTCAATTGTAATGTGACCAGGATTTCAGCACAAGGAGTGACTTTTCATTGTTTCCAGGAAGAAAAAATAAACAAAAAATTGTGCATTATTGCACCTTTTACAAAACTCAAATTTTAGTATTCGATTGTGATGTGATGGTAAAATTCAGCTAGCAAAAATCTGGGAAAAAAACTCGTATTAAATTCCAATAAATTTTGTCAGTCATAGTAAATCTCATGCAGTTCTGTCATACACATAAGCTGTTTCTTGTCTGACATTTGTCGCTGTAGAATGTAATTTTATAACGAAGTTTTGTTATGTGGAAGCAAGATTTAAAATAAGTGACCTATAAATCAAAATAGTTACTTGTACTTGTGCAGGTTAGGGTTACCAGCCATCCCGGATTTTGCAGGACTTTCCCGAATTTTTATACAGAGTCCGGAGTCCCACACCGTCCCAGTCGGGAGTTGTCCCGGACTGTCCAGTTAATAATTTTTGTTTACACGCCCAATAACGCGTGATGCTATGGAACAGGAAGTTAGCATGATTCACTCACCCAAGGCAAATGTTGCAGTGACTAGTGGTGGCTGCAAGGGGCCTTAGCCATGATACCTGAACTTCTGTGTACAGTGTGGAAACTTTTACCAGCTCATTGTCCAGCAAGAGGGAGTGTTGGGAACAGTGTGTAGCCAGCTGAAATACCACTCCAAGGTGCCACAGCAGTAAAGAAAAAAAAGGATGAGTCAGGAGGATATCGCTATAAGAAAAACGTATTTCCCTGGTTATGTTAGTGTATGTCACCCCCCCACCTGACGCGACATCCTTCGTTATAGCAGTATTACTTTACTTTCTCATCATCTGCCCCAGTTTACAGCCAGACCTCTATTGTAGTTGCCAGGATTAGATGCAAGCCTATCCGCAACCTGCATGCATTAGTATGCCCTTTATTACCTCCTTGATGCCATTATGATAAATATCTATGCAACTTGTGCAGGTGAGTTGGAGAAGCCCTGCTTTCACGACACATTCAGGGCACTGCACCCAACTACGGAGAAGGCGTTTACATGCTGGAACACGCGACTCGGTGCACGCCAGACTAACTACGGGACACGCATCGACTACATTCTTTGCAGTAGCGGGCTGTTGCCCTTTGTGAGCAGTAGTGAAATCCTGCCGGAAGTGTTGGGTTCCGATCATTGCCCAGTAAAGGCCACCTTCGCGTGTACGCCTGTGGCTTCGCCGCAGTGCCCGTCTTACTCCACGAGGCACTGGCCCGAGTTCTCAGGCCGCCAGCAGAGCATCGCGGGATTCCTGAGTAAAGGACGTAGTGCATCTGCTGAGAAGGCAACACGACTACTCGAAGCACCGGTAAATTGTGCCGAAATCGGAAGACAGCCAGCAAAGAAGCTGAAAATTTCAAAGAATGGACAATCCACTTTGAAGGGATTCTTTGTCGTCGAGAATAAAGGAAAATCCAAAGTGATACAGTCAGATTTCAGTACAGGAGTCACCGGTCTTACAAATGGCAGCGAAGCAGAGTTTAGCAACAAGACCGCCTCTGTCACGGATGCAACCATCTGTCAATCAGCGTCTGGGGTTAAGCTTCAGCTGGAACTACCTGTCGTGGCACGAGACAGTGGAAAACAAGCGAATCAATCTAATGCTTGGAAAAATCTCCTCAAAGGCCCCCCCTTGGCACCCTTCTGTAAAGGCCATGGTGAGCAATGTGTTTTAAGGACGGTGAAAAAGCCCGGACCCAACCTAGGCCGTCAGTTTTTCGTTTGTCCGCGGCCCGAGGGCCATTCTTCAGACCCGAACGCTCGCTGCAACTTTTTTCAGTGGGTCAACCCTCCCAAAAAAACCAAAACAGTGGCAGAAGTTACGGCATTATGATGGTGTCAAAAGCTTCGCTTGTGCTTGTAAACAGTGATATGTGAATAGTGAACTGTGTGTTATAGCAGTGAGAGCAGGTTGCAAGCCTCAAGACGTAGAAACGCTGCATACACTCACTTCAGGTAAGGTGCTCACATCTCAGAAGCATGTAACAAGGGGACTTCACCTCTCTGAGCCTTCCTTTATATAACGTACAAATACTCCTAGATTTTGGAGTGGTCACAGCTTGTAAAAAAACTGGTACATATACGCTATGAAACTTAAAACAGCCAGCTGATTGTGTGGTTACAGTTTATTCTCACGATATCCGTGTTTAGTTCCTATCTGCTTGAAGAATGGTTCCATGCAATATAAGACTAGACTTGGCACATTTAATTTGTACCGCAGCTTCTTGCTTGAAGAGCTTTGTATGCAACTGAATTGCTACAAAAAAGCCCAACATGCTCACAATTTCTCAAATTCATTTTTTCTTTCAATGTTGAAATGTGCCTATAGGGTCATTCCTTCTTTGAGGGGAAACATGCCACTAGTTTCAAGCTCTAATAGCGGCCTATGTTTGGTATTGAGACACTCAACAATCTCAGTTAACGCTGCTTAATCATTCATTTATGAAGTGTATATGACTATTTGTATTAAGTTATAGAAGGTAGGAAGTGTCATCGTGTTAAATACAGTGTACCGCAAGCATATAATACAGCCCATTCCAAGTGAACAACACCTGCGACTTCACGTTACCTTTATATGGCTTTTATATGCTTTATGCACATAACTTATGCTTCAATGGATTTTCGGAAGCATTGTTTCTTTTTTTTTCAGTGCCTTCTATTCGCTATATAAAACAAAACTGAGCACGTAATGCTCACTCACCATCCTCCATCCCCTTGGTCAGTTGTGTTTGCCTACGAGCATCTGAAACATCCCATTGCATATCAATGTTACTTTTCAAGGAAACTCTTGCAAAACATTTTGTGAAAACTTTAGGAGTTAAGCTGACAAGCCTGGGCACAAACACATTTCAAGAACGATGGCCACCTATTGTTTATAGATGTCCATCCTCAATGTGAATCGTGTTCTGATGAAACAGAACCATAATGGCATATTGTCGAGCCATGGTGAACTATTACAGCAATTCTATGTTCATCACTTAAGGCAAAGCTTGTTAAATCAGCTACGTGTCTTCTTATTCAACTTCGTCACTTTTCTCGCCACCAACAAGATTTTAATTGTTTAAGCTGTGTTGCCCCACTCCCCAGCAGTCTCTCAGAACCTCGACTAAAAAGCAAAGGCGCGTGAATATTCGAAATTTTGGACATTTTTCTTATAGTGTTCGCTATTTCATTTGATTTGTACTGGAATTTCACTATGCAAATTATTGAATTTTCTGAAGACAAATGTCAGATTGACACTGGCCCCTTCATAGATTTTTTAATATGCTTCACCCCATCACACTTTTGTATTGCAGCAAAGCCACTTTTTAGGCTCTGCTACGCTAGCAGATGTATTGATCCTAGAAAATGCTGCTTCCAATACGGCAATCATTGAGGTGGGGGCTCAATGCTGTTTTGGACCTGTAATTTTGGCAGGAAGTCCATAAAGCAGACACCAAAGATATTTAGCATCCAAATTTTTAGACGTCCTTATATGTTCACGTCTATGAGGCAGAATTAGAACTCCGGACTCGAAGGGAGCACACCCTTCACCACCACATTAATTGTGCTTCCAGAGCAGTGGAAAGAGGAGGAGAGGATGAGCAAATAGCATCTTGGTCGTTCAAGCGTAAAGCATTGTCGGCAACACTTCGGTTACACCAAGTCATGTACATGAGTGCAGTTCGGCCACTGCATTGCTTCATCCTTGATAAGACTACAATTAAACACAAACCCGCCAGTGCTTCATCGACGTAGCCAAAAGAAACGAGTTCATGTTGTTATCTCATAGGAATATGCTTAGGAATCCTCTCCAGTTTTTTTTTTCTGCAATTTCACTTCGAAGTATTTCAAAAATAATTGATTCACTTTGCAGTGACCATTCAATATTCGAATTTGCTTCGCACCCATATTTTTTTTATTCACACATCTCTACTAAAAAAATGGAGGGGAAGTGTTCTGGGGTTACGCAGAAACATCAGTGTCACCACTTCTGCAGACAGTGACAAAAACTGTCACTGCTTTCACACCACTTCCAAGTGCAGCAACTTAGTGGCCATGCATTACTAAACTCGAAATTTCTGTGGTAATGCTATGTGGCCTTAGCCTATGCTTCACACAGCTCCCATGTTGGCACACTACCGTAAAATCCCGAGCAAGTGCCTCCACCCAAGCAAGTGCCCCTCTCCTTTTTTCGAGAACTTTGCAATATGCACCAATGACACAGCAAGAACCCCCCCCCACCTCCCCTCCCACCATTTTCACTGTTTGATTCACTATTTTGGAAACAATGCATGCATATTCAATGAAGCATCTCATTAGAACTATGAGTGTGTGTTTCTTTTTTTTTTTTCTTAGTGGCTCTTCCTTCTCAATGATTAATATTGCTTCGGTACCAAGCAAGGGCCTCCCCTCCAAAACTTGTCGAATTGTCTTTCACTGAAAGAGGACCGCTTGCTCGAGGTTTTACAGCAAGTGTGATTGGTCCGAACGAAATAACGAAACGAAATAAATAGAAGCCTCAGTACAGAGCCAACTCACCAGATATGCCCATTTTTGTGGGCACACACTTGTTCGACAAAGATTAGTAAGAATTCAATGAAAGGCCATACACAACTGTGGGTCAAGCCTTACATAACTTGCTGAGAATGAAAGTTTTATTTATAGTCCTGCGAAGGTAATTTGAGGCGAGATTTAGCCTTGGTCTAGGCATTGGCCAGGGCTGTTCAATCCACATGTTATTAGAAAAAAAAAAAACTAATCATGGACGCGTTCATTTGCCGTCATCAGTCAATGGCATCTATGGTTGTCTTGTAGCGCACTTGTAGGTTCTACAAAGCTATTCTTACTTTTCATTTTGCTGTTAATTCACTCAAAATATTACGTGTGTAGCATACTAGTGCAGCGAGTATTGCTTGAAGAATGGCAGGATCAACATAGCTCTGTTTGCTGTCAACACTTCCGCTAGCTTTGTTCTTAAATACAATTCGAAATCCAGTGGTCACAAGTATACGTCAGTAGCGCATTTTCGATAACTTTTCCAAAAGCATAAAACGAACAGCCCATATTCCAGTTGGTTCCCAGCAGTAACTAGTTACCACTCAGGCATTAGCTTTTTATTATTATTATTATTAATATTATCATTGACGTGATGTGGGGAGATGTTAGACACAAATAAGGTGCTGGCTCCTCGGTAGTCCTTAGAGGTGCTGCCTTACTCTGAATGTCACGGGCTTAATTGTAAAAATAGTGTACATTAAACACGCCCAAGAGACCTGAATTTATTCAAGGCACCATGTTATGCCATCTACCACAGTTCCACAGTTTTGCGTTGGGGTGTGTAGCACCAATTATCTGCTTGAAGTTCGTGACACTAAACTGGCTCATTCTGAGCCGTGGGCTTTTTTTTTTTTTTGCTCTCACTCTCTCTCCAACATTTCCCAGACTGACTTGCAGGTCAACACTAGTGAAACAAATCTTTTAGATTGCCCTGTATGAACTATCACTACACGTTTACTGGTTGCACATACATCTCTATAAAAGACGCCAGACCTGCACAGAAAGCGCAGCACAGTTGCAGCGAAAGCTGGAAGAGCTGCGTTTTTAGAACCTCTTGTTAATGGCTACTAATAAAGGTATGCTTGCAAGATACCCACTGCGTCATAAATCATGGTTATGATCAAGATGTAAAGCACATACTATGTCATTATTTGACATTCAAAAAAGAGAAGTACCCATTACACATTTGAAAGGCAATTTGTGCACTTCAGTGATGGGGTGGCTGATCATGATGAATTATGGTTGAGCCCTTTGTAAAGGGTTAGAAGCATTCAACAACTCACTTGTTACGCAATTTGTATTGTGCGACGCCTGGTTATTTTTCTCTCCTATCACATAATATTACTTATACTAACGTGGTTTCTTTGTGACATGACATTCTATAAAGTCTTTTTACGAAGCAGCTTTGAACACTGGCATGTCTTTGTAGTAGAATACCGAGCTGCTATAGAGTAGACCCAGGTTCCAACCACCTTACATCATTTATTTTTCCTATTTCACACGAAAGCGGTTATGAGCACCAGCGACAATGGCCAATTACGGCGCCAGAATCATCCCTTGTTATCTCGTAACAGCTTTCGCTGTAGAATTGCAGTAGAACGATAGAAAGTGCTCGAATATCGCAAAAATATGACGAGTGCAATTTTTTTTCTCAAAGAACCACCTCCGTTTGCTTGCTTTCCACGGGTTTATGGTGCGCTTCTTTCACCAGTAAAAAAGCAGTTTAGTAATACACGATCTCCAACACCAGGCTATTCTCGGCACACCAACCCACGAGACTGTCGCAGCACAACGGACCAATCCTAGAGACAGCAGGTGGTGTGACCATACCTTGCCAGCATTTACAAGTAGTGACGCAAAATACCATAGCTTGTACACTTCACTTACAGCTTCCTTGAAACTTCACTTCTGAAATTACAGCATACGGGTCGGATTGAAATAACTTTATTGACTGTTCAGAGTAACACATCTACAACAGTTCACGTTTCGAAGCTTTATTTCCAGTAATATATTCTCTTGGACATTTACATTATGTACTATGTACATCTCTCAAGAGTGTCAACAGTAACAGGTTCCTCTGAGACAGCTTTGAACACTGGTCACGCATGGGAGGTCTTACACAAAAAAAAAGGGACGAGCGGCATGCAATAACTTTGCTCTTTCTATGGCATTCAGGCACACGACACACACAACACATACTGTGAAGACTGTATATACGCATGCGGTGTAGTGGCACACCTAGTAGATTGCCCTTCACAAGAGAGGAAATGTCAACTTAAATTAAGAAAAAAAAAAACCTTAAATTAAGAAAACACGGGTGCTGGCGGAAAGTTCCATTGCAGACCCCAAGTCGCTAACATTTACTTTTGTAAATTTACATGCGTGCACAAGTGTCTTGCTAGGGAACCACTTTACACAACACTATAGCATGCCTTTGGAGAAGCAAATATGTTGACCAGTGGGTCTGTTATGGCAGCGGCTGTAAACTAACTGGTCAGACAGATAGCTCAATCATGCCAAAAATTTTACACTGCAGCAAGTGCTGGTAGTACCTTCAATAAATTACTAAGCTTTAGTGCAGCATTCGCTCATTTCAACCATTTCATTGAGAATCTGTCTAAACTAAGCACAGTCCATCTTCTAACCAAAAAGAACACCACCACCATCCGTGCCTAACAAAATATTCAGCAACGAGGAAAACGTTACTTCAACCCATCTTATTTCTTCCTTTTCACTTTGATGCTGCATGACCACAGCTTAAGGCCTATTTGATCTCTGTATAGATGCAAGAACCATTTTTTCCAACCAGAACTATCCAGTTTGTCTGGCGTACGGCAGCATACTTTTCATTTAGTTCTCATGGAACAAGAAACTGCTGCACTAAAGCTTGATGTGAAATGCATAATGCCACCAGTGGGTGTGTAGGAGCCAGCGTTTTTTTAGCCAGGAAAAAACTGACACAATCCTCCGATTCAGAAATGACCTATATTGCAGTCACCTATATTGTATTCCAAAGAAGCCATTTAGTGTCGATATCTGCAGAGCATTTCATTCTTCCCCGAGTCGTTTTATTTGTCGATACTTCGCTTGGCACGAGTGACCAGGTGGAGCAAGTCAATCAAATGCTGCTTGCTTCACTTAAAACTTGTGAAATTCTATTACTAAAACAGGTTCTCCTCGTGACACGCACAGTTGATATCAGATGCCTAGAACTCAAAGTTTGTACCTAAGGCATATCACCTCATGGCAGCTACAGATGGTGCTTTAAGGATGTTCCCAGATTTTTTACAACTGCATTTTTTTCTTGACCTTCTTTATGTTGCACCACAAAGTTTCTATACGGTGTTGCCATAAGCTGCTACAATGTGTAGGCCATGGAAACTGTAGCTGTCGCTGATCGACAGCACCTATCCTTAGTGTCTGTAATCGGTCACTTGCATAACACCACAAGGAGCAGCTCAGCACATGAACTCCCAATCACCCGAAACTAGACGAGAATAACATAAATATAAAGCTCTAAAAACTAAAATGGGAGAATGGAACATGTCCTTCACGAACTTTGCCACAGTCTCTCCTAAACGGAAAGGTGACAGAGATTAATTAGGCAAGGCATGGAAGCACGGTAGGACTTTGATAACATCATGGTCGGTCAGTTGGAACTGGTCGCCTTTGGATAAGAAAGCTGTCAGGCTGGCACGGCGTTTGCTTCATCCACACTGCGCGTTTTCAAAGTAGTGAAGCCACAAACGGGCCGAAACAGCAGAGGCCACAACAACAAGCATGCAAGATAGCTAGAGAGAGAAGAGAGCTGGCAGTGCGCTCTTTCGGACACGCGAGCAGTGTCCCGACCGGTGTGCCCTACACGCATGCTTGTGAGCAAAGTTTGATGAAACTCAGGGAAATCCAAGAAACAACAGCATCCACACAGACATACAAAAGCAGAAAAGAGACAGCAGCCGTTGCCACTCAACGCAAAACAAGCGAAGCGCTCAAACCATAAACTGTTCATGGAAAGGGGGCACGACCAAGCACTTCTTTATTTAAACAAAGTCACCAGTGCACTGAAATGCAGGTCTGCACGGCAATCCGGGTGATGTTTCGCAGCACAGTGTGCGTGGCAGTAAGCAGTGGCTCTCCACTGACGCATAGCGGCCGCGTCAAACGCGCCAGTTGATCAGTTTCAGATGTGCAAGCTACAGTGCGTGCAGGGGTGGCCAACGTGTTCGGAGCATCGCAGGTCACGCACCATGCAAAAATGCTCGCTAGGCTAGGGCAGAAAAATAGCTGCAGATTCTAACGCTGCATGGTGCATCAAGTAGTCCATCATTGCTACTTCAGTTGCCCCCTTAACAGTTTAACATTCAAAAAGAAGTGCGGTATATGGCGTATATGTTACTTCTCACTTTCTTCACTCACGTGTATATTCTTGCACATCCACACACACGCACATTTTTACACAACGCTAAAGTACCACAGTTCCTAAACAGCAATAGTCTTATGTGCTCTGCCTAACAGGGTGTCTTGTATCTTGTCAATAGTAGCAGATACAGAAGGCTTGGGGGGCTTGGTTTAAAGGTTATGCCACTAAATAAAGCCGATGTCCAGAACTGCACCCACAACAATTTATCCTTTATGCCAATTTACACCAAGCATAGCATTTAGGATATAACTGATGGTATGACAGCCACTACAAACATCAAGTTTCTTGGGTCGTAGCACAAGGTACTAAAATAAAGAGACAATTATGTTACTTGCAGGCAGGAAAAATAAAAGAACAAAATTGCGACTTCAGCTTGCAACAATGTATAGCTTCATTTTAAATGAACACTCTTTACGTTGACCATAATTTTTCACATTTCTCAGGAGCAACACCCTTCAAGGGCCACTGCATTCGCAACGTAAAGTTGAGCCTAGTCTGCAGTGCGGCTAATTTTGAGAGCTCCAAAACAACTTTTTAAACACTTATTTTGTACTTAACGGTCACAGCAGCACACTGGCCAATAAAGTCCAATTTCATGCCGGGAGAAACGCAGCGGTAGTGTTCCAGCGACACAAGCCTTTCGTTTATGCCCACCAACTCTGCTTGAAATGGCACCAAGATTATAAGTGCCACCATTCACCGGATTATATCATTTCACAATCAATTGATACTTTCCAATGCAACAATACCGTGTAACGTGCTAGAATGAGATGTACACAAGCACAATTCTATAGAGCCTCTGTGAGTAGGAACACCAATGAAATCCCAATATATAGTCACCACCACACCATGCATGGAAGCGACAAAGCCTACGCGGTAGCCACTGCTTATTGCTGGCTCTTCATTGGTTATACTCACCAATGCGAAGCTAAAAGAGGGATATATATATATCTATATATATTGGCTTCTTTTGTACAAGTGTCACACAGATGGCACCAGATTTTGAACTTTCAACAAACAAGACCACCAAATAAACACAAGCACCTTCGTTTGCACTGTAAATGTCATATACGTGAAAAAACAACATGCTATTTGGTAAACAAATGCACTCCTCAAATGAGTATGTAAACAATGCACAAGTTCTTCCTGGCAGATCCTTCTACATTTTTCTTTCCATTCCGCAAACTTCAAAGGTTGGCAAATCTGCACTACACACAAGATCATTGGAGCAATGACATAAATATAACATCTGCACTTAACACAACGTGCAAAGAAAAAATAAATGCAGACTAACTCGCCACATGCCAACAAAATGTGCATGTGTTATTGGTCTTCTGACTCCACACATCAAACGCATAGGCTGATTTTCTTACATGGGAAACACTGATGGATGTTGTATCCTTTGTATGCCTAATAAGCACTTGTTTTTGCCCTCCATCAAACAGGCAATTTGTATATAGAACGAACAATGTCAAAATAACAAAACTGTTGAAAATAACAGCTGACATCAAACTAGGCAATAAGTAAACTGTGGTAATATAAGGCCACCAATATGCAGAGGCCATGTTTTGAAGATTTTCGGCAGCATACAAAACTGCTATAAAAAACAAATATGGAATGTGCTTGTACTAAAAAAAAAAAACGGGTTTGCACAGGAGCTGAAGTAGACATGTGTGAGTATTTGTGAAAGAATTTTTTCAGACCCACTGTGAAAAACGAATTCTCTGCCAACCACTCTGCAAACTCTAAAAAACTTAATGCAGAGTTAAAAGTAACACTCCATACAAGAAAAATACAAGAGTACCATGATGCACCAAAAAGTAAGTACACTGAACATTAATAGCAATATTAATAGCAATGTCATCACAACAGTCGCACAACATCTGCCACAACGGTCTTGATTTGCAATGTATACGTGCAACACGCGAGGTAAATAAAATGTCTGCTACGGCTTATCTACATACATAACCGAAAAAAAAAAACACTGTTAAAGTGAACAGTTCACTTCGTAGTAAAGAAACCTGAGTAATACAATCACAACCTATATAAAGTAACATAGTAGTCTCACGTTGACCATATAAACATAATGGGGCCCCTTAAACATCATCCTGCGTTAGGCAAACCAGTTTAAGGTGTTCTGCCTGCATGTTTCAAGCTTGAAGATTCAGGGACAGAAGTCTAATGCACCTCTTTCGGCACACACTTTTGCATTGCAATTCGAAAGTGACAAAAATGTTCATACACTGCATGCTGAAAACCAACAACTGGCAGTCCGAAACCATTTCGTGTGCTTCGTCAAAAGTTGACCGACGCAAAGCAACCTCGCACATGTTTTGCATGATAAACTGAAGAGTGCAGTTAGTGCAATGTTTCTAAGTAAACGAATGCTACAGAGAAAGAAACATGGCTTCTGGTCTTCAGAATGCAGAGTTAACATTACACTGGTTTACACGCCCCAGCTCTAAAAGAGATTTAGATGAAGTTATTTACATCAACTCAACACTTATTTTGCAACGAATGCAAGCTACGTAGTTCTCACATTGTTCCCCACCGGTATAACCAAATGGTTATCTAGGCCTTCACAACAGTGAAATAAATGCTAAAGTGAAAACATGTGCTGTTATGTAAAAAAAAAACTCATTAGAATGTCCTTAACACGCTCATCTTGGGACTGTAGAAACTGACTGTTCAAACGAAGAAAAACATGTTATTCAAACGTTCCCAAAGAACAGAGCTTCAGCTAGCGTTTACCTGAGAGAACATATTAGTGATGTCCAGGCCTAATGAGCGACCCTTTAAATAGTCTGCTGCTCGTCACTCTATGCAGGGAAGCCGGCGCAAGCCGAAGCCAGCTTAGCTTCTGCTGCCATAACTAAAAAGCGCTCTTGTTCATAAACTGCATAGGCAGTTGAGGGGACTTCACATAAAAAAAAGCAGACTTTAAGGGTGAGAACCCAGAGAAACACTGTTCTCTGATCTCCAATAATGTATACAAACGCACACACATACTTAAAAGTAGGTCCACTCTTCAAACCAATTCACAGGCAGTCTCAAATTTAACTGTGCTATCATCCCGAACCACACTCACGACCTAAGTGGCTGAAGAGGCAAGGCCTATAACATGCCATCATACAAAGTCTGTATGTATTGCTATGTCGAACGAAAAACAACAAAAAATGAACTGTACGACAACTGCACAGTGTAAAACAAGCACTATGAACGCTTTCTTCAGTTCCACAACTATAACAACCTGAAACTATGTTAATTATAAGTAGGTGAGAAAAAAACATACAAGTCTGTGTTTGACTACGCTGCAGAAATGGTAAGAATTCAGGCATGCCATAAATGAAGTAGTAGAAACAAAACATGCAACACTCAACATCATAGTATCAAAAGGCAAAGAATGTTGGACAACAATCTGCTTCTGTATAAGCTCTTAGCTTTAGTAGCTCAACAAAATCATATTTAAGGCTGAATGCTTCACACACAACATCAAAATATTGTTCAAGTTTAGCAGGCATTTAGTTTCTGCTCTTTTATCCGAACAATGTCTGCAAATGAAATGTTACAGAAACAATAATAACCATTGCATGTTACAGAGCACAAGCAGCAGGTCTGCATGACATGATGGCAGCTGCTGGCAAAAGCCAAAAATAAAATAAATGCATCCATTCTGCAAAACAGCCTTGAGAAAGCACAACCAAAAGAAATGTTAATGGGCAAGCTTCACATCAGCTTGTGAGGATTTTGCTGCCCGTATCGGCTAGGCAAACTTTACATTGAGAGTGACGAAACTTTTGTGAATGCACTTCGGTTAGCATATCTTAGATGCCATTTGTCTCGGTTTATAAGCTTCAAATGTCAAAACACTTGCAGAGGTATGTTTCTGCTTTCCTAAAGCAAAGCAACTAGATCCAATTCAGTGTTTTAACAGACTTAGCAGCTTTTAGAAAGAAAAAGAAAAGAAGTCTCTATTCTTCAGATTTATCAGTATGCCATAAAAGAAGCAGTGTAAATATAATGGGCCAGCCTATGGAAGAGTCGATACAACCACCAGCACACCGGCAAAACCCCAAGTGAGGGAAGGTGGCACGAATGCTCTCTCGTGACGAAATTTCCTTTTCCAAACACTACGATGGCAGCCTAGCCAGCAAGCTAAACTTTCGTGCCATTTATCTCCCTTCTATCTTCCTCTTCTTCCTTTTGTTTGTCCCCCCATTTTATGACGATCTTCATGGCGGTGGCGAGAAACAACATAATGTCTGCTAACGTGGCAAGAGCAAGTTTTTGCAGACACATGCACTGGAATGTCGCATTGCGATTTCGCCATCAAGTTTACATTGCATAAGCTTCAATAGGCGACTGTGCTCTCGCAAAAATTCAGATTTGCCTCAGTGCCAGCCTACATTAGATGACTGGGCCAATCACATCACGCACGTAGAGCTCATTTCATGTGACTAGCATGGGGCAGGACAAAAGGAGGCAGGTGCTTTACACCTGCACTTCTCTATCCACTGTACCAACCTCAATGTTTTAAAGAGAGAAAGTTAGGAGCACCAGCACAGTGAATATAACTTGCCTGCATTCACACCCCCACTGTCTGCACAAGTGCCACCAGACTGACATCTTTTCTCATATCGTCTAGCTTTCGTAGATACCCCGTCTATCAATTCAAAGGGTCTGTCTTAACAAATGCATCAAACTTTCCAAGGAGCATTACGTCAAGCCAGTTGGCCTCGGTGTACTACACCCCAATTCCACGCTTTTCTCAACTCGGACCCTCCAGGCACGACCTTCCACCAGCGGGGTTTTGCCAAGGCGCACTAGTAAGCTTAATGTGTGCTGGGTCTCAGTACTGTGTCCCAAAAGTTGGGCTCTGGATCGGTGGTGGAGACTGCGGCGGGTACTGGGTGTTGGACTGCGGGAATGGTGGCACCGCCCCACCCACGGGGGGCGGCTGGCGCTGGCCGTGAAAGCTGGTCTCCTTGTAGACGAACCAGCAGCCAGCCATCCAAAGAAGAACATTGAAGAATCCCAAGATCTGTAAAAGAAGAAGAGGTGTGCCTGCAGCAGGCTGCCTTTCGATGTATTTCCGAACTCGGTGAGAACACTTAAGATGGCAGCCACACTGGTGAATGACAGACGTCGCATAGCAGACCATACTGCTCGTTGAGAATCTACTCGCGAAAACGAGTTCTACCGGCTCATCCCTACAGCTGAATGTGGAAATGTGCTCGAAGTTCATGGCGCCTTCTTGCACCAATACCTACGCGTATTACAGTAACAGCCTTGCTAATTAGGAAAAATCAGACCATTTGGACTCATCTGCTGGCAATAGAAAGTATATGCATCACTGTATATAAATAGGACAACAGCCGGAGCACACCGAACCAAAGTGCAGAAATTCGCAATGCGAGAATATGAAAACTGCGCAAGCATCCAACTAAAACAAAGCATCACAGCCCACATCGCCATAGCGCACTGCTGATTCGTTCACCAGGTCTTGAACTCCAGCTGCAGAGCTGGAAAGATAATTTTGTGGGCAGCTATTCGTTGTTTTATAGCCAGAGTAACCGCTCACTAGTGACTCGATCATTGGACCTTTGCAACTGGCCACTGTGAGTGCGTCCTTAAACTGGCCACGGCCAGTTACACTCCAGTCTGGCAGAAATTTCGAGTCACCCACGTGCACAACTTAGCAAGAACACAATGATTATAAAGCTTGTAGCCACATTTCTTTGAAGCAGGAGGTATACTAGCAGAGCTGCAAAAGGCCAAAGTAATTGTGCCATTCATGGAACATCTGTCGGTCTTTACGCCACATTTCACGAACCGGAGAACTGCAAAACATGGTGAAGGCTCCAGTGATATCATGAGTTAGCTTCGGCATAGAGTAAACACAGCGACTATGTTACACAGTACAGTAAAAGCTCATTAATTCGACACACGTTAATTCGGACGGCTCTATTGGTCCCGGCCAAAGTGCATGTTAATCTATGGGACCAAACCTTTGTTATTTCGTCGGAATTCGGCTCCGCACCGCTTAATTCGGACAAATGCTGACGGCTGCTGCTACACAAAAGTGTGATAAAGCAGCACTGGCACCACTGGAGTGAAACCGAAACCTGAGTGGCATCGCCATCATCATCAACTAGTGGGGGCGATCGCAGCGTCACCGAACGTCGGCGTCTTCTTTCTTCTCCACTCAGCGCACGGAGGAAGGAAAGGTAAGGAAAGGCCCTGACGTCACTCGTTGCAAAGCCGCGATGAAGCCGGAAGTCGGACATATTGACTAGGCAACTTCTCCTCTCTTGTTTACATGTGAATGCGAAGCACAAGGCGCGACTCCCTCTCTGTCTCAAAAAGCATGTGGCCTGCGCGCCGCGTGCGTCGGTGCTATCCAAAACCAACGGAACGGATTTCAACACGCTGTCTTGCTGCGATACGGTTGACGAAATCTCTGCGTATGGCTGTTGTACTCTTGCACTGCCGGCGTTAATGATAAACACGGCAAGTTGCACGTTACGCTTTTTTTATTTGATGTGTTCTTTGTGAAAAAGATTATATTTCGGACATTGCTGCACGACGAACCAGGCACCGAAATTTGTACAGCTTCTTTCAGATCACTTTTTTCCCCTTTTGCGCTTCTCTTTAGGTTTTATGAAATTTTCGGTCAGGCTGCGGGCTAGACACAACGATAAAAAAAGAAAAAAATGTCTTCCCTGCAATAAACCCGCAGGTCCGTAATCATGCCAGTAAAGTTGGCGTCGGTGGAGCTTGTGTGAGTGCCAGCCCGTTGAGTTTGCGCCGGCCTCTTTGTTTTCGCCCCTCTTTTGTCCTACGCGCACTGGTTCCTACGGATATCCCAAAGGCCATGATTTTATTAGGACGAAAGCAGCGAAGACCTCCCGAAAGTGCGTGGGAATACGTCTCTAGTGTGATTCACGCGCACTAGTAGCTACGGAGAATGGAGACCAGGATCGCGTTAGGGCGAAAAGTGGGAAAGTTAGCCGAAGGAATGCGTGAGAAAAGGTCTGCGGGAAGCTTCACGCGTCAACACAGCCCCCAAGGACGGCAGGGAAAGCCAGCCAAATGCGAGGGAAGATGTCTACAGGGTAAGTGGCTAGTCATTAGAGGAAAATAAAGAGAAGGCGCTTGTTTCTGTCTTCCTTATCTGGAACAGAGCTCAGCACTAACCGTCAACCGGTAACTGTACAGGAACATGAAAAGCATGATTAGATTACAGTCTTAATAAGGGCCTGTGGACCGCAAATGCATCGTCCGTCGTCATAAGAAGCAACACCACATAACTGTCACTAACCTGCAAGGCATTCATTGAACGAATTTTTGAGCACAGTCGTTATCTTCTATGATGGCTTTTCAGCATCATTTTGACGGATGCTGCAAATTCGGAGTATGTATATGCGCGCTCGTTCCGTGGTTTCTAGTTCAGACACCTGGTTACAACCACTACCGGGGGAAAATCGCGTAGCTAACAATGCAGCACAAAGAATGGATGCTGTCGAACACCTGCAGTACGCCACGGTTAGGTGCGAGGCCCATGAAAACGCGCACACCACCGCTGGACCGCCTGAACGGTGCTGCACCGCACTACATCAACGATAACAAAACGCCGCCATTGTGCCTAGTGAATATGGCCACGTGTGATGCAATTTTCGCCACATTTTTTACGCCCTGCGCCGGCTGGGCATGCTCTCTCCTTACCTTTCCTTCCTCCGTGACTCAGCGTTTCCGACGCCATTTTCCCTTGTGTTGTTGTGTCGGAACCATCTCTTCTTGCGGAGTTCTCTTTTTATTGTGACCGTATTTGCATGCCACCACCATCGTGCGCTACAGTGATGGCAACGCCGAAAAAGCGGCAGAACTACGACGCGAAGAACTTGGCGACTAAAGTGGAAATTTTGGAAGCACTGAAGAACGGCGAATCGCGACAGCAGGTTATGACCAAGTACAACGTGAAGCAGAGCACGTTGGGAACGTACATGAAAAATGAACAACAGATTCGACAAGCCTTCGAAAGCGAGAAGTTTCATGCCTCTAGAAAGCGGTTGCGAACCGCAGCTCATCCCCAGCTCGAAGAAGCTTTGCTCCGGTGGATTACTGACTGTCGCAATGCGCATCTGCCTTTGAGCGGACCTCTCATCATGGCGCAAGGTGAGAAGTACGCTGCAATGATGAACATTGAATCGTTCAAAGCGTCAGAAGGGTGGTTTGCGAGGTTTCGAGAGAGACACGAACTTGTCTTCAGGAGTGTGTGCGGCAAAAAGGCCAGTGTTGACGAAAGCGTGACCACCGAGTGGAGAAATGTGAAGCTGCTGGAGCACATCGCCGCATATGAACCACGTGACGTGTTCAATGCAGATGAAACTGCTCTATTTTTCAGAGCTCTGCCTGACAAGACGGTGACTTTCAAAGGGGACGCGTGCATTGGTGGCAAGAAGTGCAAGCAAAGGATAACTGCGCTTCTTGCCGCCAATATGACTGGCACGGAGCGCTTGCCACTACTTGTCGTCGGGAAGGCGCTTAAGCCACGTTGTTTTAAGAACGTCAAAAGCCTTCCTGTCGAGTACACAGCGAACAGGAAGGCATGGATGACATCGGACATTTTTCGCGGCTGGCTGCAGCAGTTGGACCAGCACTTCACGTCGAAGGACCGCAAGATAATTATGGTTGTTGACAACTGCAGTGCCCATAACTGTACAGTCGAACTGAAGAGCATCAAAGTAGTTTTTTTGTCTGCTCTTCAGCCGATGGACCAGGGTATCATTCACTATGTGAAGTGGCAGTACTGCAAGCACCTGCTAGAGCGAATGATCCTATGCTCAGAAGCTGGAAAGTTGTATCAAGTGGACTTACTCGGCGCAGTGCACACCATCGCCCACGTGTGGAAAAACACTCCGCCGCAAGTCATCGCCAACTGTTTTTGGCGTGAGGCCCGAGCATGCAGCAGTAGCTGACGATGGCATCGAGGAGGTGTCAGCCGAGTCCACCGACGATGACTGCCCGACTTTCGATGCTGTCCTTCCCACAGATGTGACCTTTCAGGACTACATCGCGATTGATCATGGTGTCGCCACGAGTGGTCTTCTGACCGATCAAGAGATTATTAATGATGTCACGGGCGCCCATGAAGACCACGATTCCGATAAAGAATCATGCGAGGAGATACAGCCGCGACCTCATCGCACCTCACGGGAAGGCGCTGTTAATATTAGAGGACGCTTGCCTGAACACTCCCGACAGCTTGCATGCTGTTGGCCATTTGTAACAGTTAAGAATAATTGTGATGTCAGCCGGAATCTGCGCGAAAACGCAGACGACAATTACAAAATACTTCAACAAATAAAGGTATGCTTCTGCAGCTTGATTTTAAATGTTGTTTTCCCTGTTCATTCGTTAATTCGGCATTCGGTTAATTCGAACAGTTTTTCCGGTCCCGTGAAATCCGAATTAATGAGCTTTTACTGTAGTGCATACTTTCGCTCATACTGCTTCATGCCATCCTTTCTGTTGGGGCCCCATCCGAGCACACACCAGTGCATGTCAAATATCATCGCCAGATGAAAAAAAAATAATTGTACACGAGGTGTCGCTGGAGCCAATGCTTCGACAGGTGAACTTGCCTTCTTGACGCCTACAATAGGTGCCAACACACGTCCTTGCACACTCACCAAAGACACGTTGAGAGTAGCGAAGCTTCCGCTTGCCTCTTGTTCACACCGGGCCTTATCTATATCCCTACAGATGCCAATGGCGGGCCACTTTATAATGTTGTCAGGGCTCATGTAATACTTGACGTCTCGCACTCCCTGGGCCCAGGCGCACGATCCCGCAAACCAGAAGAGCGACATCAGTGCTGTCAGGCCGAGATCCTGCACAGTAACAATGGGATACTCATGCGAACAAGCCCAAATTGTACAACATTTTTTACTGAACTGTCCGTAAAACATTATCAGTTTTGTGTTACAATTACACAAAAACTCCTGCTGTGCCGTTTTAATACATATGTTGATAAGTCAACTAGGCTTGAGCTATTATCAACTCCTTGGTTTGAAGCAACATCAAACCCAGTAGTAGTTACTAGTGTTGATTAATTTAGAAGCAAACAGTTTGCGCTGCACAATTTTCAGAGGCTTGAGGAAACCTGTCAATGTTTAAAAATCTGTGAAAAACGTGGTTCTTTACTTGTCAAAAAAAAGAAAAGTATTCATCTCTGGGCATCTCTGTTATTCAGATATCTTCATGCAAAAATGCGAGTACAGTGTTTTTTACAACTCCAGCGGCAAGGAAAATTTGGTTACAGCCTTCTTGCAAACAAGTCTGTATTTTGTTCGCTTATAACGTGATGTTACAATGATCCGACATGAAACCGTTAGTCTAAGTGGTTTATGTTGCGACAAGCTATTTTATAGGTATACACACGAGCTAAACCTCTTTCCCCTCCATAGTCTTTGTTACCTTCTTGGTTCCATCAATCATTCCAACTGGTGCTCATTCGCAAAAAACATTATGCAACACCAATTTACCTAAAGTGCCATCCTCCTGCACTAGATTGATTCCATTCTGTAAGTCTGCAAACTCGGCACTTGACAGGCCTGCTGTTCTAAAGGTGCCGTGTATGCTTTGTATCGATGCATGTGAGCACATTCAACTTGCGCAGGCCTCCAACAGTATCTGCAGAGGTTTTATTGATCGGTTCATGTATGCATCGCACACGTCTGCGTCATATATGAAACGTGCTCATAATTTGAAAGTTATACACGTGTCTTTCAGTTAATGCACGTGACTTGCCAACACATGCCAAGGGTGACCGAGAATCCTCAACAAGGCAGAATAGAGTCTGAACTCTGCAAAAAGGCTTTTTTACGAGTCTCCTAGACCAAACTACACCCCTCCGATGCAGCTTCTCCCTCTGTTTTCAGTGTACCCATGATTCTGCCCGTCTTTTGAATTTCTCTCGGGCTACGAATAGCAGCAGCTACGGCTCATAGACAGCGCACCTGTTGCAAACCTATGTGCATACTGGATCGATACACAGAACACTCCCGCCCCACTCGGCCAACTCTTAGCCACTGCTTCAGTGAAAGAGCATGTGAACGAGACACATAAAGGCCCGAGAAGCAACAGTCCAAAGCCCATTGACACTATGTCTTTTTGAAAGAGAAAATAACTGCACTTTTAACAAACATCCAGCAATGAAAACTTGTTGATTCTTGTATAGTGCACAGTGAAAGTCCGGACTGCCACTGTAGCTCAATTAGCAAGCATTGGAGCAGTTATTCTGCAGTCTCTAACTGCAGCAAGTTCATTTGTCAGTCACTTTAACTATTTTGCATTATTTCATAATTACTATACTACTGCTAAATTTTATAAATGTCACATATACCTTCCTTGGCTTTATTAGGTCGGGTGTGGCAGATAAACAAGCACTCTATTGATCCCCCCCCTGTTTGATTTGTAGAGTGAATAGATATATTCCATCTCATTTAACAAGCACTGATCATTTGCAGACTTACCACAATCGGTACAGTTTGGTTCTCTGCATACATCTTGCTGGAGAAGAGGTAAATGCCAAGAATGCCCACACAGTAGAGGAACGACAGCACGCCCGTGGCAACAAAGAACTCTGCATTGCTGGCGAAGTTGAAGGGCAGCTCAATGCTGTCGAGCGTGTCATCGGGTGTGATGGGGCAGGAATGGGGCACTTGGAAGGGGAAGTAGCTCATCCTGCATGCAAAAAAAAAGTCAACGATTCATTAAAAAACTGGTGGGCCCTTACGCTTCACCTTTAGAAGACGAACGCGATGGCAATATATATCCGCGCGCACACGCTTCTTGGTGGTGACCTAAACTGTGACAAAAGGAAAGTCAAGTGCAAATGCACTATCTTCTTTTGCACCTACCTCGAATTTTCGCTCACAGCCAACGCTGCTTTTCCGCTCACAACGAAAGACGCCAACGCCACCAACACAGGAATTTTTACAAAATGAGTGCTTCGTTGCGTTAAACATCACTTGTCACGTTAAAACGTTCATAATGTTAAAGGTGCACTGACACCTAAATTTCAAACTAAAGGTGGTTGTACTATTAGAATCTTTTGCATACAGAGGAGCCCCCCCGGCTGTGCATTGGTGGCAAACGCAGCCTCGAACGTATTTTTTCAGTAGGGTTTTATGTAAAAGTGAGAGCTAGTCTGAGTTGGCAGAAATTTGCAACATAGTCATCAGTATAACAAATTTAGTAGCTCCAGGGTCTCTCTGCAACATTTCAGTTGTTCCACAAGCGCTGCCAACATCATAGACAGGCAGGTTTGTGCTGCACACAATGGGAAGCTCTCCTTAATTGCTGTTTTGTCCAGCTGTTTGTTATGTGGCTTGTTTTGACTGCTCGTACTAGTGGCACTTTTGAGATGGACATTCTTTTCACCGTGAAGTGGGGTCCAGACAGGCAAGCGCATCGTGTGATAGATTAAAACCATGTTCAGTGGCCACCGGTCTCCGTGGTATAGAGGCCATGGCGCTCGAACGACGACCCAAAAGTCATGCAATCGAATCACTGGCATCGTGGCTACATTTTGATGGTGGCAAAATGCTAGATGCCTGTGCATTTTTATTTAGGTGCCCATTAAGAAACACCAGATAATCAAAATTTCCAAATTCCTCCACTACAGCATCCCTCAATCATGTTGCGATTTTGGGATGCAAAACACCAACAATTATTATTTTTCATGAAAGCAGGAGACGAGCTGACTACGACAGCAACACAGAATCCGCAATCTTACCGAAGAGCTGGCTATTCATTGTCAAGCAACTTCGTGAAGCCACCATCTTTCAAACGATAAAACATGTTCCAACAAAAGTTCTCTTCACAATAAGGCCCTTTGTTTTAACATTCACCTATGAGGATTTCTTTTTTGGAATTGTTTCAAACCTCCCATCTTCCCGCACACTTTGGCACTGCTTGCACACCACACACTACTTCTTAATTAAAGTAGTAGTGACAAAAAATTTTGGTGTGGTATTTTATTTTATAGCTGTAAAATGTTGCTGGAGGCCTATCAGTCACAACACGAAATACCACTTGCTGTAGTGCACACTAGACAATTATTTACAGTCTGCTTATTATACAGATCACTTCGCAAGAGCTCCAAGAACGACAAGCCATAATGTGCATCTAACATCACGCAGCATGTGAAATGGCACGCCCAACTGTGACGTACTTCCGCACTGCCTGCATGATCTTTTGCATGCAGAGCGCAATGTTGTTGCCGTCACCGTCGCCCGGTGGCAAAGACTTTCTTGAGGCTTCCGCATGTTCACCGTGAGCACAGATCTTCAAGTAGCCACCAAATAGTAGCCTGCAGGTGCAAGCGTGGCAAGAGTGCAATGGGGACGATGGCTTCATGATTTAGCTAAGCACCAGAATTCGGCCCATCGATGGCATCCCCAAAGTTTAGAGGTCCACTCCAGCTCGGCTTGCACGATAACGATGCCGCAAGGTGCGAGTGTATAGCGCTGAATCAGGCACAGATTATGTACACATGTTCACGAGAATCAATCCCATCTCAACTGCGATATTTTGTGTCGTACCCCTTTGGGTCGTTACAACTTTCCGTATATGCCACTTCCACCATGCGTGTAGCCAGAAATATTTTTCGGGGAGAGGGGGGGGGCACGACCTTGATTTTCGAAGGGGGCAACCCCTTAAAATGGCCATTTCTCGCTTTCTATGCCATTGCGGGAAAAAAAACCCCCTGGCTACGCCCCTGACTTCCACCAATGCACACTAGCTCTGATGGGGTTTAGAAAAAAGATAATAAACTAAGAAGCCCTAGTCTAACGAAATAAAACAAAATCATAACCTAAACGAAATCCCATCATTTTTCTGAAACGTTCAGCAAAACAACCGGCTGCTGGCCTGCAGGCAAACTAGCATGCAGTATTGTATGAAAGTGTAGATAAAAGTCACTGTAGTGGACATAGAAACAAATGCTTACTAAATCAATAACAATGCCGCATTACTGTGCTAGTTTTGGCTCACCTGAATGGATACCCAAACTGGACATTGACTTTGAATGGGCTTCCCGAACCGCTACAGGTAACCGAAAAGATTGACGTGGTCCCAAAGCCAGATGTGGTTGCAAAAGCAAATATGGAAAATACCTGCACAATAAATTGGACAAAGATAGGCCACCACTCAAGCATGCTAAAGACAAGTGGTTGCTTGGGCATGTTGGTACAACATACAACAGTCCAGGCAGAGAAATACATATATGCAACACTGTTATGTGTGTTGTGTACCTGGTCTTTTGCACTGTTCCACTACAATACTAAAGGCAAGCTTATGAAAGCACACTTTAGAGCTTCAACAACAGTCAAACCAAGTTGCAACAAAGTTATGTGCAGCACAACCAATAACATAAACTGTTAGGTGCGGCACAAATGAATTGGTTCTATTCTGCCAGGTGCCATCATCGTGCCCCACATTTGTTGACATCACTACACACATTGATACTGGGAAACAACACTTTAAATTGATCGTAATTAAGCTCTGAGGTCCTAAGTAGAAGTGTCGCATACACTTCAAAACAGCTCTGGTCGAACAGCTCCAATTGGTCCTCCACTGAAAATTTTATTGGTACATGTCTGCTGTTTTATTATACATCATTAATTGGCAAGTGCTTATCAATCAAGTTGAGCAAAACATGCTGAAGGCATCAAAATATTTTGCGTAGCACATGATTTCACAAAGCGATGCAACATACAGCAAGATGTGGAACCATTTTAACATATTCATTTCGACATACTGCTCCTTTGAAGGGCTATTGCACAAAGAGTGGCGAATGCGAAAAATTGCAAGACAATACACGATGTGATGAACATGAATATTAATGGTTAGCAATATACAACAGGAATGCTGCAATGCGATCTGATGCAAAATCCTCTTGGGAAAGATAACAAAATTTAAACGAAAAGCAACACGGCTTCTGCAGCATTACTTTCACGATATCAGCCAGTAAGTCAGACCATCCATACATGCGCCAGAACAACTGAAGTGAACAAGGTTTAGATCACACTTACGAACTGCAGGACTCGGATAAATCCCCTGGGCTCTTTCAGAACTCTGAAATTAAGGTCCATGGCTGGCCTGGGCAAAAAGAAACAAAAACAAATTAAAAGAGATCTGCCGCATCAAAGACAATGGCAGGAAACTACCTTCGCAATTGTGCGCACGCAAAGCGCGCCACCATCACTACTACTAGGCGGGTTCAGTCACAGAGGAGCAATAAAAATAATAAGCTTCCGTCGGGTTTTCGCACCCTCCAAGCAATCACACGAACATGATGTAGTCGAGCCAATGCGGCTGATCACGGCCGAAATAGAACAGTTCACCTGACCGACCACAAATCGATAGAGGTTTCCGTTGCGGAATAAAAACATCGCCCACGCGATCTCTTGAGAGCAGTCACGAACTCGAAAACACCTGGCTGTGCACCGGCTGCAACAACTGTAATTTTTTGTCGCTGCTCGAAGGGCAAAGGACCGCAACCATTCCTGCGGCCTTCCACTACATGTCAAGCCGCAACGTTTATACCGAAAGCGCGCGCGCTCGACCGAGCCTCGGGCAAAAGAGAGCGCCGCTCCCACCGAAGTTGCGTCACTGCCCAGAGGAGAACCCGAGCGCGTGAAGATATTGCTGTTTACAAAACCGTTCGTAGTACACACTCGCGTCACGCGCACGATGCGGCTGCATTCCGCGACTACCAAATTGGCCATCCCGACACATTTCCACCGCAGGTTGGAAGACCGCGGACGGGGAGATACATATCGATCTTCGGTGTCTAAATGCGGACCGACACATTCCGAGAAAGACTGCTTCCCAGGGTGTTAAACACGACTCGATTAGGTTCCCTTGCTGCGGCAAAAACGTTTCGCACTGCAGCACGCGCATGAGGGAACATGGAACCGAAAGTAAATACCTGAAACAATCAACCTGGAAACTCCGATGCCCGCTGTACGCCCGCACCAGCCGCTACCTTGCGTCTTCTCTCGCTCCTCCACTGCCCTGCGCGAATGGGCGGGGAGGGGAGAAGAAATCAGGCCTGCAGCTATAAATTCTTTATCAACGACTCGTGGTGGAGCGTCCGCACTGATTGCGGGTTCGCGTAAACGTTTACCTGTCAGTGTAGCAGGCGCGCCCGGCTAACCAGCTCGACCGTGCGTGTTTTCGGCCCGTGTTTTCCTGCCGAGCTTATGCGGAATCCATAGGCTCCGCGCTCCGCTGATATCGGCGCCGCTCGCCACTCATAAGCAACTGCCTGTCTTTTTCAGCGTCTGTGGTAATCTGTGGCGTTGCAGTTTTAAGCCGTAAGAGAGCGCTAGCTGTTTTGTGAACACGTGCAAACAATTTTTAATTTTAAGGTCATTATTAGACCACAAATAATTTTTACGCATTAAATAGACAAAATACTTGCTTGCCAGGTGTTACAATAGGTTAAATTTTGCGTAGTGTACGTGCAACGTAATATGGTATGCAGCGTTCTCTTAAAACGACTGTCTTCAGCTACATTTCACAAAAATAAATTCAAATTGTAGTTCTATGTCATAAAATAAATTAACAGCATAACATTGCTGCGTCAATGCTAATGGCACGTTAAAATATTGTTTTTTAGATTAACACACGATTTCGTGCGAAGGGATGCGTTCGAGAGTACACCACCACGTCATTACACGTGTTCTCTCCCTCTTCAGCAACATGGCAGCGTTGAGGTGTGTTGTGGCCGCGATTCTCTTGGCGTTTTTCGAGCTCAGCTATGGTAAGTGGCGTTTCCTCACCGTGGCTCCTACTTTGTAACGTCGCAACTCTAATGCGCTTAGCCACTCAGCTGTAGCACGGTACTAGTTTACTTGAATTGCATTCCGAAAGTCGTTCAAGCACCACTCGCCGGGGCAACATCGAACACTTCATGTGCCCATCCTGTCAGTTTCTCATGCTTACGTATTAGTTTGCTGAACTTGGGTGTGAGCGGTGCTTAAGCGAACAGCCGATTCGTGTTTGCTAACGTGCCGCAGCTTGCGTACAGTTTTGTCGGCACAGCAAATGAATCTGCAGCAGCTTTCGGTTGTGAAGTTTATCACCTCCCAGGCTGCTTCAGGCGTCGGGAGCTTTGCGAGCAGCCTGTTGCCATATTAAGGCATTTTTACGTCTTTAAAGGGACACGCAGAAGTCGCTAAAGAATGTGGCTTTGTTGTGTAAGCAGCGTTCGCGCTATATTTTGCACTAACCGACGCGCACGTACTACCTTCAGACCACCATCAATTTCTACTAATTCATTGTTCTGAAAAAAGTTGTATTCGTGTTAAAAAACGTGGGCCTGCCCGTTCGAAAGATAAAACAGTTTCGAAATGATTCGTGCTTCGCGTTAACAGCCAAATTTTATGTCCAGGCTAGCTTTTCACAGATGACAGCAACGCTAGATAACACACTAATTCTAGGGATAGACTGCAGGTTCTCGGTGGCACATTCGGTCGTTTGTCGCAAGGAAAAGTTCGCACTTGGAGCGAGGCAGCGTGAGCGTCACCAAGGTTAGGCTATGGACAACGCAGAACACGGTTCTTAAAAATTGGGTTATGCACCATTACAGAGTTATGGTGCTCAAACTAGCGCTTTTTGGCATTTCGAAGGTAATTACATGGCTTTTCCAATCCCCAGCACCTGATTAAAGTGCTGAACTGCTGACTCGCAGGTCGCGGGATCGAATCCCTGCCGTGACGGCTGCATTTTTGATAGAGGTGAAAATGCGTGAGGACCGTGTACTTGGGTATATGTGCACGTTAAAAAACCCCAGTTGGTCAAAATTATCTGAGCCCACCACTACAGCGTTAAACCCCAACAAATTATTATTGGTGTGAAATATGGAACAAGCATTCTGCAGCCAAAAATGTTCTCAGCACTGTTTTACTTCTGGATTTGCAGTGCTTGCTAATTTACTTACCTGAACCCACATTCCAGTAGAGCTATTCCTTTGTGAGAGTTGGTTGTACCTGTCAAAGGCTCACAGTGTGCATGTAGTGTCACAATAGTATTGCACTGTTTTTTGTTTTGTTTTTTCATTCTTGCTACACCACTTTTTGTTCCTCTGCATCACCTAGTTGTTGGTGTGTGAAACCTCATGCTCCGTGGTGAGTCCATCATGACTGACATGGCCACACTTCATGAAGTTCATGTTGCGATGTGCCTTGCAGGTAAAGTTTGCGAGAACCCCGAGGTGGTGCCGAAGGTTTACACAACCACTGATGGGCTCGTGCTCGCAAACATAGCATTCATCGCCCAGTTCCACATGAAGTGCAAGGAAAACGTGCAGGTAAGGGGTACCGCTGGCTTCATGTTGTGGTGTTGTCATGCTGTCGGCGGTCGTGTTGGGAATAAATTTTGTACCATAGCTACTGCTGTAAGCGGTACAGTGTTTCCAGTTGCCACAATAAATAGCATGATAATGCATAACTTCGACTGCTGACCTGAAGGTTGCGCCATTGAACCCCAGCTGCAGTGGCCACATTTCGAAAGAGCCGAGACACTAGGGTCTCATGTACTTAGATTTATGTGCTTGTTAAGGAACACCTGATGGTAAAACTTCAAAGAGTCCTCCACTACAGCATTCATCGTAATCGTGTTGCAGTTTTGCAAAGTGAAACCCCTAACAATACAGTGAAATGTCAATGATTATACAGTGGAATTATGGCTAAAGGTGTGATTAGCTTTTTGGTATAAATCTTGTGTCTTGACCACTATGGATATATTCGTGATAATAATCTCATCAGATCACTAAAAAAATATTTGTATCGTCCAATATTCGTATAACCAGAAACTAGAAAAAATTAGCATGCTTAAAATGAAATCTGGCGTACGTTTTCATTTGTTTTTCAGGACCGCAGATAAATCAGGAAAAACTGAATGATTGTCAGCTAAGTTTATAGACGTCGGCAATCATATCAGCACTTGTAAATACACGACCCGTACGCGCGTTCAATGAACCAGGAGCATTGTGACCCGTGACAGCAGTAGCCCCTTCCAAATTTTAGAGTGCTTTTTCACATGGCACAGAAGTACTACATTGAAAGTAATGAAAGAAGAGCTTTGAGACCGTATATCAAGGCTACGAAAATTCATAACCACGGTCCTATGTTATGATTTGTTATTGCGGAGGTGTTGGGGATGTATTTGGAAGGTTTACAACTGTGCCCGCACAAGTGCGACCTCAACAGTCATGCATGTTGACTTTAGAAGGCCTGACTTCTTCACCAAGACCGTCCTTGCCTTCTTTCGGTCCTTGTACACCTTTCATAGTATGCCTAATGCACAAGGCAGGCACGTGTAAGCATGGTACAGTAACAGTAGCCCACACCTATGTACTAGGAAAAATAAAATGCCGCCAGGGCCCTATGTAATCTAAATGCGATAGTACTTGGAGGCATATCACAACCTCAAATGTTTGTGCTCACAATCTCTGAGGCTGTGAGGTGTCGCTGAAAATTTATTCTGATCGTAAGTATTTTTCTTACACCGTGATTCTGACATTTAGGGATGTAGCGTGCAACCCCGCACTTACGTTCCCGCGCTGGCATGTACTTGACGCGTCTTCGGCGATAGCACTGCCAGAACGTTCATAAAGCAAGAAAGTACAATACAATAAGCGCAAGCAAGCAAGTGCAACAATAAAACAAAAATTACAGTCTTCATGTCCACTAACGTGCATAAAATGGCTTGAGACTCGCGGCATGGATGACTTCAGGTCGCCCCCAGCTCTATTGAGAGTTTGTGATGCTGTCCAGGATAATCTCGTAGTCAAGAGCACCTAGACTATAAAGCACGTCATATGAACTGAAGAATCGCTGAAGAAGTTTTTCACTTAGTCCACGTCAGCGTATAGGTGTCTTGACTCTGTCCCCGGGCTGGTATTCTGCAAAGTGTTGTCGAAGGTTGTGATGATGGCTGTTTATTGTATGCTGATTCTTGATGCTTAGGCATGTGAGTTGGCGGACTGAAGGTAGACAGTCACGTCAAGCTCTGAAAATAAACTCAGGTGTTCCCGTCTTGAATACAATCTTAACAAAATGATCTACTACAATTGTGAAGTTTCTCTAACACAGAAGTCGTGGTTTGCGCTGAGCATTGCTGAGAGTCTGCTGGTATAAACTGAATACAGCGAAAGTGAAATAATAAACTCGCGTGGCAGTATCCTGTCTTTGGGACATAAAACAGTTATCATTATTAAATGTGGCTGCAGAAGTGGTGTTTTGGTTACGCAGTAGCTGTGGTATTGCATTCTCGAGTGAGTGCTTGTTGATTTGATTTCTGGCCACAGGCATAATGGTGGCTGAAGACAAAAACCTTTGTATTATGAGTTTGGATTAAATTAGACATCTTCATTACACCATACCTCACGGCAGCAGCAGCATGTTCCCTGATATAATTGAGTAATAGGAAGTTGTGTTTAACCATGCCTCGTAGTTCATTAACAAGCCATGTGGCCATACTCAACTTCCAGGTTAGGTGCACTGATAAAAACTCAGAGCTGCATCATTGACTTTCTCATTACATTTAATAACAATCATTGTATCACCTCTTTTAATTGTGAAAACTACTTAGTGCATACCAGTGTAAATGTGGTCTTTGTATTCATCGTGCTTTCAGAATGTTTATTGATTGAATACCGCAGTTAATTAAGTGCACTACGAGTGCAGCTTGCCTGTCTGTTTTTTGTAACAAAATATGCATACTGAATTTTATCTCAATTTCCCGCAGCAGTCTTTGATATAATGCCGTACCCTTGCGAAAACTCTTTTTCTTTGATGTCTGATAGTGTTAACGTATATTTTTCTTTGTTGCATTTCAGAATGTGCCCCTGTATGCAGACGTGAAAGGCAAGATTGTCCCAGTGGTGAAGTCTGTCGAGAGCAACGATTACCAAGTCAGCTGGACGGAAGAACTGAACAAGGCCCATTCCGGAGACTACCTGATTAGGGTGTATGACGAAGAGGGCTACGGAGCGCTCCGAAAGGTAAAGCGGGCGCTCTGATTTTGCTTATGTTAGGCAAGGCATTAGCAAGTCACGATGTGCAGCTTGTCACAAGGATCATAAGTAAACATTTACAATCATTGCATTCTATCGGCATGACTAGTGTATGAAACGAAAAACTTGCTGGCTAACAGTGTGAGAAAACAGTCAGGGCTGCACATTGATTCGTGAAATAACAAAAAATATTTCCAGGAAATTAGGATTTTTAAAGACATTGGCGGGACTAAAATGCAATTTGGATGCATGCTCTCATAGTTGACATTAAAGGGGCATTAAAGTGACACTGCATCAGTTTAGTCTGATCAATAATAATCTGAAAACTCTGTTGTTGCTAATTTTACCATTGTAGGTCTATAGTAAAGGCTCGTTCATTCGATGTTTATTCATTGAAAAAATCGGATCATTCGGACATGTTTCCTGGTCCTGTCCAGCATACGCATTGTTTAATGCCATCAAACTCTCATTAGTGGGATCACATTTGGCTGTAACACAGTGCACGAACCTCGGAGCCAGCCAAGCACAAAGCGTCAGAAGTGTGTGATGCAAAAGAGCAAAAATTTAAAAAAGCAAGAAGTGTCTTATGCAAAAGTCGCGTTCGCGTGTTGGTGACGGTACATTTTAAGGATGGGGCGAAGTGCTCTTTTTCTGGCTAATTAAACCCAGGAGTCTGGCGCCGTGGTCGCATCGAGTACGAAGTTGGTGGGTCGCAACAATCTCGGCTTTTACGCTGTGTTTATGCGAGATATGTACAGGATTTGTGTATTCATCATAAAACTTAAGTGTAATAATGCATTTCCTTCACTCATTTGATAATTTGACTTTCTTTTAGTTCAGAAATTTTTTCCAGTCTTGTTAAATTGTAATCCAAGAGCTTTTACTGTATTAATAAAGAGAAAGTTGAAGTGTACCTTTTAAATTGCATGCCATTGTTTCTGCCTGTAACATAACTTATTTCAAAGTATTTTTGTATTTTGGTGATATTGGTTCAATAAAATGTCCTGAAACTTTATATGCTAAGTCTAGTGCCTCCTCAGAAGACAATGTACTTCATATGGTCAGATTAGGACCTACTTAAATCGGCACTAAAAGGTGCCGTCAAAGTCTTATGATAGAATGGCGGTTGGTTTTGGTACCCTGAAAATGGCCTTCCACCTGTGCTCTTTTTTTTTTTTTTTTTTTACCCTGCTTCTTTTGCATTTTCTGGAGGCAAGCATGGTGATTTTCATATTATTGTGAAAATGTAATTTATTGGTACGAAAAAAATTATATTTCTCTTTGGTGTAAAAAAAAAAGAATGTGCTTGGTGAGACATGTGACATACACTTAGCAAATCTACCATATTTACTCAAATGCAACGAGAGTTTTTCCACACTTTTCCTATCTAAAGTCGACCCTCGGGTTACAATTGAATACTGTAACACTGTTTTTTCCTCCTGGCAATCACCTCTCGTTTTACATTTGTGGTTGCGCTATAATCGAGTAATTCGGTAATAATGTGCGAGTGCAGATGTGTCGTAGGATGTGTAAGAAGACAAACGCAGTCAATGACAGTAGACACCATGTAATGAAATTCGAAAATCTACTGGGGTAAAGTGATGTCGGCTGCTTCAAGACAGCTGGAGTTTGTGGAAATTATTTAGAAAAAGCCTTTTTTTTTTTTTTGCAATGGACTATGGACTGAAAATTGAAAACATGAGCGTCCCTTCAAGACGAGATGGCACATTTTTTACTTCCAGGCCCAGCGCTCGGGGGAAGGTGCCCAGGGTGTGACCCCCCTTTTCACGATCAACGTGCACCATCCGGTGAGTACTTCAAGACTTTAGATATAGACTGCGAGAGCTTGGTTGCCGTAGCATGCCACTGTTTGCAACCCGCCAGGTTTTCTAATGCTTGTGGTCCTTGACTGCTCACGCGCAGTTCGCGAGATCGAATGCAGGTTGCGGTAGCCGCATTTTAGATGGAGGAGAAAATGCTTGTACTTAGAATTAAGGGCACATTAAAGAACCACAGTTGGGCGAAATTTTCTGAGCCCTCCACTACGGCACCTCTCGCAATCATATCGTGACGTTAAATCTGACAAATTATCATTTTACAGTGCCTAATAAGGATACTGGTTCACTTATCTAGTGCGTTGCATTTACAAATGTAGTGTGAAAACACCCATGAGCAATCAGTTATTTATAATGTTCTTGTGACTAAGCATTTGCATTGCATGAACTGTCGGGAAAAAATGCAGATGAAACTACTCATTAAAGAGCCGGACAAATAATTTTTGTAGCGGCTGCTTTTTTTATAAGCAAAAGAAAGCTTACCTGTCACACTGCGTTTGTGGAATTATAATATGGAAGCCGCTGTGAAACACTTTTTATCGGAGTTTTACAGTGTGCAGCATCAACAGTCGTACTTGCTGTACATACTGCAAACAGTGGCAACTTAGCGCAATAGCAATTGTGCACTGACGAAATGGTGAGGCTCCATCGATCGAGCCTGTGTTGCGGCGTTTCACATTCGTACTTTGCAGTGCGTGCACAGTGTCTTCACGCAGGTATCCGATTCAACTGGTTCTCACAAAAGCAGCGCCACTTTTCGATGTCAACTGATTTTAGTTTATAAAGTAAGAATGCCAGCTTCACCTGCAGACATTGCTGTTCCCTCCCAGTGAGAATTTGAGTAAATGCTCCATCCAGTGGCTCTTGCTCATTTTTGTGACATCAAGCATACTTTAGGTGTTTCGGGTACACTCAAACCTCAATACAACGAATCTGAATCTAACAAATTATCGGTTATAACGAAGTAAGTTAAGAATAAGAATGGCTCTGTCATTGGTACAGTGTTACAAATATTTGTTTATAATGAATTTTCGGATATACCGAAGCATTTTTGTGGAAGGTGTTCACCGTTATATAATGTAGTGAACTTTCCTCTATAGATGCATGTGTGTAAAGCTGTTTTGTTTACAGAAACTTGCACTCGCAGTATTTGAGCCACTTTGAGCGGCTCAAACACGAACGCGTGCACCGAACAGCCGTAGCACGCATCGCGACCTTTCGCACGGGGCACAGCTCGCGTCATCGTAAATGCACGACATTATTCGGCCTTTCACCGGCTGAGCCAGCAGCAGCATCAAGAACAAAAAAAAACTTCAGCATCCTGGTAAATTTTATCAGGGTCTCTAGTGTTACTGGGCTAAACTTGACGTTTTAGGTATACTCGGCAACTACTTTTCCTGGTGGTGCTTAAGTTTATAGATAATTTTGTCCTATAAAGATAAATGCTGCTTTATGTATTTTGAGACTCACAGTTGTGTGAAGTCATAGGTAAAATAGGGGTATTGTTCACCTCTCAAGAATGCTGTGGCTTTGTGGGTGGAGCTAGCATTTTTTTCTTGGGTTTAAATGTGGGTCTAATAATACACAGACTGTACCGTATTTACTCGCGTAATTCTCGCACCCCCCACATCAACCAACAAAAATAAGATTTCTTTTTTTCCTCGAGTAATTATTGCTCCCCCGAAAACTGCCGCAATAATGTCGTCTGCTGGTTCCAGCCACTGATCATAGCACATGCCATCTGGTGCCATCTCTTAAGCATCAAGCGTACTATTATTGCACGGAGATTAAATCCAATGCAAGCCAAGCCACAGTGGAAACTGCGCGTTGCGGCGTGTTTTGTATGTCGTGTCAGTAATCTCGTCACATTATGGGGCGCTACTGCAGCTACATGGCTGCTTTCAAGTTGAAAGTGATTGATCATGCACTAAACAACGGCAACAGGGCTGCCGGTAGGCCCTTAGGAGTCGACGAATTTTGTGTTCGCGACTGGTGACGGCAGCTGAAAGCCACCAAGACGCGCTGGACGTGCCTAAAACTGGAATTGATGGTAAACTTTATTTCTTCAGAAAGAAACTGCGGACGATTCTGTTAAATAGCCATGAGCTTAATACTGACGTCTTACGCTTACCTTTTGAGGGCTCCCGTTGCGCAACGAACGCTATGCTCGCAACACCCACAAGCTTTGCATATGGTATTCTAATTCTCGACTATTTGCTTGCACTTTTTGTGTGTCAAATAAATCTTGCCTTGTGTTGAACCTGTGCTTTTATTGTTGAGGTAAGTTTTAATTGGTACTTCTTAAAGCTTGCTGCCAGTTGCTGGTGTGAGAATCCCGATTTGCGGCCGCTTCGTTTTCTTTCTCGCTCTGTACGTCTTCGTGGAAAATTTTCCCCGCGTAATTCTCGCACCCCCCAACTTTGGATCGGTTTTTTGCCACAATAAGTGCGAGGGTTATGCGAGTAATTATGGTAAATTTTAGCCAGATTATAATGCACCTAAACAGCAGACTATCTACTGCAATATGAGTGGCTCATACACTCAAAGTTCATTATAAAAATGTTGCATCTTACTTGAAAACAAGTACCTTATATCCGAAAATTTATTATAAAGGTTACTCCTAACACTGTCTATTGCAAGACTATTTTTAATTTACTTTGGTATAACCGATATTTCGTTTTCGTGAATGTATGTTGTTCAAATCGAAAAAAAAAAAGGAACGATTGATTCTGTTAGTATAATTGAGTCTTTCCATTTCAGCCATGGTCTTGCAACATATTTTGATTGTTTCCTTCAAGCACAGACCTATTGCAGATTAATCTCGCCAGGCTCGTGCTGAATCTTCGCGTAACTTAGAACTGCCATCAGGCTAGATGTCACACTTAAAACATGATTACATCAGGCCGACTGTAGGTTAGGTGTAGGGCTCTGTGTTTTCGGAGTTTATTTCCTTGAAATTCAGAGGGTGTTTTTCCGAGTTTGTTGTTGGAAAAATGCTGTGTTTATTAGAGTTCATTTCTCACTAATCTTCAAAATTAGGTATTTAATTTTTCATTGTAAGTTGCTATTATTATTATTTCATTGTAAGTTGCTATTATATTATTTCCAAGGGGAATGCTTTCTGTTATTGTTGATTGTTGTGTTTCTCCATCCTTTCGGTGTCTTTCTCACTTCCCACTCATTTAACCTCTTAATAAGACTGTTGATATGTAATGCCAGATTTTTCGCCTAGCCTCCCTCATTTTTCTTGATGAAAAATGAATGACCTATCATTCGTATTTTTCTCAGAACTGCTATCTTAATGAAATATGAGTATGAAAACATCCCAACACACTAAGTGCATATTAAATGCCTGGAAGGTTTGAACGCACATACAAGTACAAATACATCAATGCAAAACACCTGCACTTAATCGTATTACAGCCCTAAAGCTTGTTGTAATAAAGGCAAGCATACTTTTCGAGGTTGCTACCGTTAATGGAGGTGCACACCTTTGGATGATGCTTCTCAGTTTTCAAAATGCTCTTTGAACATCGAAAATGCCCTTTTAAAATCGGAGCTTATCGGATAAATCTGGATTGTCAAAAAGTAGTGGCAAATGTTTATCTGTGTCCTTTTTTTTTTTCGGGTTTATCCAAAGACATTGACCCTGGTTATGAGAGCTGTCAATACAGTGTTCCTCAGTCATATCATGATATTATGCCGTTAACTGTGACAGTTGTTACTGTGCCGCAGTGCCACAAAGCCAGATCGCTCTCCCTCTGCAGTTTGGTTCGCTTCTTTGCACGAGTCTACGTTTTAATAACTGCAATTAGCCTTTAACTTGCTAGGTATGCAATGTGCGGTGTTGTGTTTGCTGAAAGTTGTATACGTTCATTTTCTTTTAATACCAGGGTACCTACCGTGGCCCATGGGTCCAGAGTGAATTTGTGGCTGTGTTGGTTGCTGCACTACTGTGGTACTTTGCCTACAGTGCGAAGGCAAAGCTTCAGTCATAGGACTTCTGTACATGCACGCATTCATGTTGTTTCATCATGTCTGTCTTTTTGTCTCCTTTTTTTTATACAAAAAATAAAGGGATCCAGTGGCACCTACATGCCTTTCTGTCAATGAATCGTAGTATTCTTTTTGTGTGTAGAGCTCAGTTATAACTAGGTAATGTGCTGTGCATGCAGTTAACATGCAAAGTATTTTTGTGCATGTGCTACCAAAAGTTATAGGTGAAATGTGACTTAGTGCACTGTTTGTTTTTTTTTCTAATGAAGCCATTCTTGTTACAGCATGCCAAATGTGATAACACTTGCATATTTACATATTGGTGTGCATTTAAGGTAACACCGAAGTGGTAAAAATGAAAGGGGCCACGACACCCAATTTTCTATCAGTAGTACGCCAGTTAATCTTTGTATGTGCACAAACAAGCAGTAAATTTTAGAGTAAATTTTAGATTTCAAGCAAATAGTGACTTGGCCAAATAGTTTCTAATCGATTTCAAGTAGTATATCACATATGACAGAGAAAAATGATTATATTTGTCATCACCCAGCCAACCTGGACAGTTTTTTTTAATTGAAACAAGGCATGTACAAACGTCATTCTTTTTGGTTCAAAGGAAGTGAAAGCAACTTTGTATAGCAGCAGGATTTAACCTTCAGTAAAACGCCAATGATAACATGTAAGATACATTACGGTTTTGCAATTTGTTATACTTGGAGCATATAAGAAGGCGTAACAACCAAAGCTAAAAATTGAGAATCTCTCTGCGGGCAAAAATATAATTCAACTTTGACGTGGGGCTGCCTGACAGTGTGGCTATCTCTCGAATTTATGCATTCACGATATAGCACCCCTTGCACTGCAATGAAACCACCTTTGCAGTGGGAGGGGGCTACATGTGGATAATTACGTACCTATTAATTCGTTTTGAATACATACTTTGAAATTTCTGGTAATTTAAATTGTAGTACTGTAATTGTCTAATATTCTAAGTGCTAGAATATTCGCTCTAGCCTTAATTATAATAAATATTGTTATAAACACGCGAGCATCCAGGTAGTCTGACAACACTGGTGCACTAGCGAGCCACGACGTAACAAGCTGCGTCTTTTGTGAGGGTTTGTACTCCTGCCAACGATATTGTTTCATGGTCAGCTGTGCTTACAGCGGTGAAATTTCATCTTTCTTCAGCTTAGCGTTGAAAATGGAACAAATCGCAGCAACTGAAGCTTGGGTAAAATACGACTACTCCATGAACACGCACCATGGCAATGTGACGGTCGCCTGCAAAGGTTGGAGTTTGTAGCCGGTGACTTCTGCGGCTCATTTTGCGAAGAAATATTCTTTTACAGTCCTTTTTTTTTTCATATATTTACCAGCACAGTGAACCCTCTACTTATTTTTTCCACTGAAAATTGCAATTCACCAACAGTGTCATGGCCTCTTTATTATTGAGCCCCCTGCTATGTTGTCTGCCATAACATTCTGTGCAGTATGTGTATGCTAAACCCCATTTTTTTTTGTTCTGCAAACTTTTGCTGCATGTGAAGAAAGGTTCAGAATTGCTTTTGATTCTTCACATGGAAGCAAAGTACTGGTCTGTCTTAAAGTGACTAATGTTTGATGGTGTGTGCATGCTTCTGCCACTGTGGGTCCTTCCTCTCTGACCACGTCCTCTGTCTGCTAATTTAACACTCCTGGCAACTAGCATAGATACAGTCTGTCCTGTTGGCTTGCTTGACCACACTGCCTGTCGAGCATATTACTTGCAAAGTTTCTGTTCTCTGGTCTGCTTCGCTCGTATACAGTGTCTTGGCATTGCATAGGGTTCTTCCAAATGGAGCTTCCATGATGCCATGCTCCAACTAGACTACAGGAAGGACTCCCTCCAACCTCCACTTAAAGGTTTTGGCAAATGAAGAATTGGTGGTCCACATTTTTTCGTTCCTTGGTGGGGTCATACAATGGAATTGGCCGCGCGTTTTTTTAACTGCATTTTTTTAAAATTACGAACAGCACAATTCACAAGCAGTGCATTGATGCTGTGGGGTCAATTTCACAGTAGGTCAAATAATAATACCTGCTAAAGTGGCGAGAGGTGCATCGGTCTTTCAAAACGAAATTTTGTACTTGTGCTCGCACATGTGCCGTTTATGCTGGGATCGCAATGTTATGAATTGCCGATTCCATTCACGATAAGGCCTAGCTGCAGAGAATCTCACTGCGAGCAGCTCAGACGTGTCATTGTGTGTGGCATTATGCATCGGTAATGAGCAATGTCATGATCATTGCCAACTGACTTGGCGATCCATGCCAGCGTGTGAATACAAGCATGTTAATTGCACTTGCAGATCATTGCCGAGTGGCCAGTCTTGGCTTGTTGGTATATTTTTAATAGTGACGTTGTCCTATGACCATTTCGCCATGTTTCAGTAGCAACAAGCCAATCACTCGGAGTTACTGAAAATGTTTTCTTTGATAATTTATGACAATAATCATAGAAAAATCTAGAAGGTTATCATGTTGTTAACATGAACAAACTGGAGCAAAATACAGTCATTAGCAGTCCACTTAGGTGTACGTGGCATATTTTTCATCAGCAAGTGCTTATATATGTCATCTTGAAATGCAGCCAGGTGAAAATCGAGACAAAACTTTGACATTGTGGCAGAGCCAGACATGGTAGCTGCAGATTTTGTGTGCTAGAGACAGACAGCGTTATAAGAGTTAAATAAAATTTACTGACACTTGCAACAGCTTTTGATAGGACATACACAAAATGCACACGCACCAAGTGAACAAAACAATGTTTTCATTGAATTTGCAACAAAGCAAAGTTACAAAAAGAAAACATGATGGCATGGAGTGCATGTATATTGCCGAGTAATTGGTGGTACAGCTGAGAGGACTGATAGGTTAACATTTAGTATGATATCACTGCAAGCACTGAACCAAGTGCAACGTTTCGTAAGCAGCACTGATGTACAGAGCTGTCCACTCATAGGGGGAACGCTCCACTAATATTCAAAATGTTGCCACAACTTAGATGTGTGCCAATATTGGAAAGTGACACTGTGAAGCTGCAATATATATGCAAATTCTCCCTTCGAAAGTTCTAGGGGCTTGTTCTGTTCCTGTCACAGGTCACTTGCCAACAGCCTGGTCTTGCAACACTCCTTGAAAGTAAAAATTCCTTAATGTGGCAAAGATTGCTTTGCTAGGACTTCTTTCTGAATTTTTATACCGCTGTTCAAGAATGGCTGCCCCACTTCCTTAAAGGGCCCCAGCAACACTTTTCCGAGTTATAATGGAATGGTCTCACTATTAGCGCATGACGTTTCACAAATCGCATGCCGCAACAAATTTTAGAATCCATCAAACAACATGACCGAAGTTGCAGGAATTTGTCGCACACTTTAAGTGCTTTCCCTCCATCTACAAGCAAGTGTGCTGGAAGCTATGCAGAGAAGAGGCTATGAAGGGGGTAGGAATCATCTCTCCATCAGCGGGCGTCGTGAACTTGAGCCCTTTTCTTCTTTTCCTCGAATGCGTGGCTTACTCTCTGTATGACCACGGGTGCGTGGTGGCGGCCATAGTAGCTATGCAGCTGGCGATGCTCAAGTTAGCAAACAGCCATGAGCTTTGAGATTATGGCGCAATGATTTGAGTATACAGCATCATACTATGTAGCGAGAAGAGAGAGAAGTTTCTAGATGACATTGAAAATTCCAGGCCACGCGCTGCTTTCTGATATTTGGCTTGCTTGTTCTTAGAAATTTTGAGTACTGATGAACAGCATTTGCTGACTACACTCAAAAAGTGCTGCAGGGCCCCTTTAATAAATATGCTGTAGATTATAAAGAAAAGATATGATGACTCGAGCAGGCTTTGATAAACCCCATAAGACTGTCTTCAGTGCTTCACGCCAAGCTTAAGCTTCCGTAAAGGCTCGAACACTAGTGAGATGTAATCCTTAACATAGAACGATTTTCTCTACATTTCATTGGAATGGGGTGTCTAAATGTCTAGACATTCTGCAGTGCCTTTCCTTCTGCTTACTTGCAAAAGCTGCTATGCCTTTGGTATGATAGGCCATGATGGTTAGCAACCCATGAAAACTTGTCCAAAATAATTCACATTTTTTATGCTTGTATCAATTTCAACTAACCCCTGTAGACTAGTTATGTCCCATCTGGCAGTGGTCAGGTCAAGTGATACGACGTACACACATACATCAAGCATATTTTGTGCCGCTTGCACAACAGTTGTGGCAACGAGAGTTCATGGGTTCGTGTTTTGCATCTAGGATGCAGATTCAGCAATCGCATAACTTTTGGAACTATTGCTTTTGGCGTTTCAGTATTAGCTTAAAGAAAATATGTGGCTGCTGTCACAGCAGTATTCCCCAGGTATAAATTTCGGAAGCTTTCATAAGTATTACTTCTGATGGGTAGCATTAAGTACAACCAGATCAGAGTTCGGCATACAAAAGCTGGCTTGTGGCCAAAAACAGGATCTCAAATAGGAATTACGAATGCTGGCTGCAAGTAAATGTTGTGAGAAAACTGCCAGGGCACTGATTTTCATTTATCCAGTATGGCTCCTGCTTTTGCCATCACTTCATAGTTAGCAAAACTGCAGTGCTGGAGGAAAGCACCCCAGAACCTACTTCAATAGAGAGATATAGCTGAGCATTTACATTCTGCTCTGGTCAGTTGTGTGTATGATAGCACTTTCCACACTAGTGCATCGTGCAACAGTTGTGCACTGGAACAGAACAAATATATGAGCAGCAGTGCATAAAACATGCGTCTCTGCTGTAAAGCCGATGGTGCATGCACTTGGCTTCACTTCGTTTAGCAGCTAAGTTAACAGTGTCTTGGTAAGACATGCTAATGGAAAACATGAAATCTCTGCAATTTTCTGCACTGGCTTGGGATGCTGCACCCGAGCGGAGCGTAAGCAACGCACAGCTTGAAACATTTCTAGACGGTTTTGTGATCGGAACTGCATGACACTCGCACGTAGTGCAAGGCATTGACGGTTGCGAAGTTTGTAAATGATGTTGAAAGGTGTTCATCACGCATTCCTTGAGCATGATGCACAGAAAAGTTTGTTTCTTGCTATATTTCGTGATAAAATTTTAGCGCTTTCTGGCTTATGGACACTTAAGTTTACATTTCCATCTGATACTACCTTGTCTACATTCTTTATTGCACCAGTATCACTAGCATACAGGAGCTGAAAGCATCCCTGACATGTTTGGGTAGAATGCCTGCTGCTTTATGAATATTGAATGAGTGCATTTATTCTTACGCTCTCTGCTGTCCTGTCAAACAGTAATGAGGACTCCATTAGTAGCTGTTTTAAGGAGGACAGTTCACAAAAGAGTGCATTTGAGAATTTCTTGAACAGCTGACTTAGTGAGTGAGCCACTTGTGCTGTTGTATTTGCATGAATATATTGCTAGAGTTCACTTTCCTGTGTATCAGAAGTGAAAATTTAACATGGTGGTCATGACAAAAGTTAACACTGCATCCGAAACACCAGAAACCTAGTCAGCAGTGTAGACTAACATGGCACCATTGCTTTGGGCTGCTGTTGTACGCTATGTCCGCAAGGTAATCGTGTTACAAGCCATAAACGACCTGACGTTACTTATCTTCAGCAGCTCAGATGACTGGCACTTGAAAGCAACATAAAAATAAAAAGAAAGATAGCTGCTTTACACTTGTAGCAAAGTATTGTTTTGACATGAGCTATAGTTTTATTAGAATTGAAACACGCAATGTAAAAATTATATTCATGCAAATACGCTGCTTCAATTATCTTAATGCAGACGCTTGGGACTTGGTTTCAACCGCAGACAAGTTGTATATAAGACTAATACCACCTTGAGTATTTGTCAACTGATTGGACCTCGCTCCAGCATTTCACGCCGAGACGTGCGCTTTTTTGGGGGAGGAAACGAGAGTACACTTGTTTCGTTACGTTTGTGTCACCATGACACACAGCCAATAATTTAAGACAGCACAAGTAATTGGTCCCGGTGGGCCGTTGTTAGCACAGTGCAGGTCTTGATTCCTGCAAGTTACGTTAAAACAAGCTGCTTTAATGTTCTGCACTTTGTGTTCACATCACTTCACAGAAATGGTACGAATGAGGGATGTCGTAGTGAGGCATGGAGCGTGTAGTGTGAATTCTTTCTTCCAATTTGTATCTAGTTTGTGCGCACACCTCCAACGTCAGAGACATTGCATGCAGGCCACACTGCCTGTTCAGTATGAGCGAGTATGAATTAAATGTGGCCAAAAACGAGAGTGAACAATGCGAATTTGAAAGGAACAGTTTGCATCACTGTCATTTTTCCTATCGCTTTAGCTATTCTTCATCCACTTTGTACACAGCCCCTCAGCAGTACGTCTACAACTGTCTTTACAGATGATATTTCACGTACACACACATACACCTGTGACACGCTTACAATGTTTGAAACACATTCATGGTGAGAGTATCTGAGAAATGTGCAGTCTAGAGCAACGTACATTGTGTAGTTCCTTCTAACAACAATGCTGACATGCAGGTTTTTTTTTTTTTTTTTTGTCCCGTGTACTTGTCTCATACACTGAATCCACTCTGGCATTACAAACAAGGCGCGTATAGTCTCAAGCACAACACTTAATCAGCGTGCATCGACATGCTGCGTACAGTACAGCAATGACACACCTCCACATCATAGACGTTGCCGGGCGATGAGCATCATGTACACGAGCTCAGCGCACAGCGTGTATTACAACATCTTTACAATCTACTACTCTATTGTACAAGCTCATCTTTGGAGGCTAGCCTCGGCAACAAATGTTGAGTGTTTCTGAAATCAAGCAGCTACTGAGCAGCCAGGCTCACTTGCAAGACAAACACTTGAAATCTTGATAAACAAAGTTCACAAACTATACAATTACCCGCATGTATACAGAAAGTCGTAAATACTGCCAATGAAGGCAGACCAAAAGAATGTTTCATTAACCCCTTAAGCACTTTTAATGGGCTTAGCTTGCTAAGAGAGCACTTTTCAGCTTTGTTTTCTTTACTTAGACATTTTCAGTGTTTGAAGACATAATCTTGATGACTAAAGACTTTGTCTTGGTATTGAAAACTTTGCTTCGAACAAGCTCAGTCTATGGCACTGCTCCCTTTTTCAATGTAACTTGACCATCAGAACTTCTAATTCACAGTTTTGTATCCTACTGCATATATCACTAGACAGTATCAGTGCCCTTTGTATTTTACACCATGCATGGTATCACTTTGTCAGTGCCTAAGCTGCATTTTTTCATTTCACTTCATGTAGTTGTTCACATCGGAGCACTAAAAAAATATTTCTCCTTGTGTCCAGCTGCATTTTCTGTGGCAATGACAAATATATAGTGTTTCGTAAAGAGGAAAAATGAGCATCACGTTAATTGGTTCTTAAATGTTTTTAAAAAGAGGGACATTTGGAAATGAGCCATAAAGAAACAGGCTGAGGTCACATCAGGTGATTGAAAGAAAGCACTTACAGGGTTAACATGTAAATATGTTTGATAAAGAACATGTCTGTCTTTGTGCACAGCGACTCCATAGGCCATTTATTTGTTGATCTGAGGTGCAGTCAATGCAGAAATTGGCACGGCAAATCACTTTACCAGTATCTGCCTGCAGCTACCACTACTGCAGCGCTGCTGTGCGAGTCAGCCACGGCCCATAGGTGCTACAGCCATCGACAAAGTTTAACATGTCATTTTTCTTGCGTGCCTGTTTTGCAGTTAAGGAGGAGGAGGAAGCAACAAAAGGGAGAAGGCAGGGAGGTTAACCAGAAAGACATCCGGTTGGCTACCCTACACTGGGGATTAGGTTTTGCAGTTAAGGTCTCCTATTAATGTATATAAGAACTTCCCATCCTACTGCATTGTTTGTATGCACTTTTTTTATTTTCCCTTCCGTATGCTATGAAGCTGTGTACATCCAGCACGGCCATTTGATTGTACTCTGGGCATCACCTACTCGTAAGAAACCTGCCAACTTACACAATGAGCCACGTTGGCTTCACCATGACGACAGATGTCTCAATGACAGATGTACGGATCCACTAGGTGGTAGCCCCCTGACCTTTCAACTGCTTCCTTCTCAACTTGCCTGTACTCTGCAGGATAGCTCCCTTCAGTGCTGTCACAGACAGCAGCATGTAGCTGTAAGTTCGGTTCAGCCATGCCACAATTACTTTGCCACTGAAATCTGAGCAAAATGGGTGTGCCCTAATTATCACATGTGACAGGGATAGGACAGCTGCACACTGGTACTTGCACCTGAAACTAAGTCTTGCCCATCAAAGCCTGGTGCTCCTTCGCTCAAGTGTAGGAACAGCTAGTTCAAGCTCCTTAGACACATCTCACCTCAGCACGTGGGTGCCTTCAATTTTTCCTTTTTTTTTCTTTAACCATGCCTTGGGAAGCTTAGCCACATCCACTCAAAGTCTGTAGGAGCGGAACAACACAATGCACAGGCATGCGATCAGTGTCACGCACAAGAAAATTCCTCGCGATACACAGGTCACACGCTCAGGAAAGTGGTGCATTGTGTGTCCATATATTGCCTCATTGGTGGAAATGAGGTGGCATGTCTCGCAGCGCTAGAGGAAACTACCGAGACAGAGTACAGGTCTATATGTAGTACACGGTGAACGTATCGAAACTGAGATCAGGCTTCGACAGATGTACAAGCTTATACATCCAAGAAATCGTGTCTCCGAACGAGCGGCTGCAAGATCTTCAAGCCTTTTCCCAGAACACGCGCTTCTGTAGCGTCATCACAGGTCAACTAGTAGAATAGCTTAAGTGCATTCACAACTTTATCGCAGTGCGGGAGGCGATTCTGTGGCGTCAAGAAATCTACCGCGAACACCACCGATGAATGCCTGGTCAGTCATGTTCTACGATGCACACCGCGCGTAGGTACCACGTGGAGAAACACGCGGCGCCCCCTCGCGACTGAAAGGTGCTGCAACGTGCCGAAAATTACGCCACGCGCGACATCGGCGCCTCCTCGCCCACGAACCGCCTTCCCTGGCCGTAATCGCGCGCAAGCTTTGTTCGTGGCACGTGCTGAACATCCGCCCGTAACACCGTGGCACGCTGGGGCGCTAATCGCCATTGTCGAATTCGGCCATGTTGTTTAGTTCCGCCATTGGTCAATCCTGATTGGCTTAAAATGCCGCCATCGTGAAATTTGACAAGGCGGAGTTTCCTTGTTCTGCGCGCCTAAGACCGTTTCACGCTCAGGCCTTGCACCGCACGAGCATGCACAAGAATGAAGTAATACAGAGAGGCAAGCGGAGTGCTAGGCGAACAATCAGACACGTTTGTCTATGGGCGTGCGCTGCTGCGATTCAAAAATACTTATTTCCGTAGAATCGTTGTTCAACGTCAATATCCAGCACCGGTGAAGGGGATTTTGGTATCGCACAGCGCAGTCGTTCTTGCGAAGACGCGAGCAAAAGGGTACTCGGACCGGATCAAACATTAAGCTGGAGGTGGCGCTGCGGGCGGATGTGACGGCAAATGTCTGACATTGGGCGCTCGGCTCGCGATGAAACGAAGCGCTAAAGAAGCGAACATTTCGCGCTTTATCGGGCTCGCTCGGCGGTGCAGGGAGGCGCCGCAGAACACGCTGCGTTTGTTTTTCGGACGGGCATTCGCGCGAGAAGCCGCGGAAGGACACTAACGCGGTCAGGAAGTTCGTGCGGGCGCGAACGGCATGCACGCTTGAACGACGCCGCCATATTCGCTTGTTAAAACCGCCCGCGCGTATCTCTAGAGGCGAACGGTTCGACGGGTTTATGACCTTCGATGACGCGGTGCTAGGGAAATGTCCCCAGGGAGGAATGACGATGAAGCGCCGAGTACGTTTTTGCGGAACCTGCGGAGTGCGTTGCCGCGATGAACAGCGACGCATGCCGAAGCTGCGAAAGGGCCGCTTATTACGCTTGTCTATTCGTATATTCCGATCGCGTCCACAACCATTTGTTTGTATATGTATAGTATCGCACAGCGCGACATTGCTACTATATACACACCAAAAAATAGAATACAAAATATGAAAAAAAAAAGAAAACGTTTCGAGGGATCCCGCTCAGTGCAAGAACACTTTGATAAAGAAATAAAAAAAGACAGGCGCGCATGGGATGTTTGACAGATTTTCTCAAGCGCGAATGGCTTCCCTTCTCTAAGTGAGGTTTACTGCTCTAAATTAATAAAGAAAACAAAAAATTTGTCAAACAGATCGAAAAGACTGTGCTCGGAGAAACTTCTAAAAGCAGACACCATATCACAGGTTTCCGTGGCTGGTCCGCAAACAAAATATTGAAATACTTGATTGGTGGGAAGTTCAGTTAAAGCATACCTGGCAACTTCATAGCGGTGTCATTTGATCACGGAATCGCTCTTCAACGCAACTAAAAAAAAAATTAAGAAGAAAGAAATGTACAGTAACACGATGACTATGGGCCGCAATACGGGGCCGCGCATTGCGAAGCGAACTAGAAGTACTTGTAGTACGGTACTTGTATATACACACTGCACTCGGTGAACCGCTATAGCCCACGGTTTAAGAGTCATTCATGCGACCGCTGCCTTACCAGTGGCTGTCTGCTTAAATTACCCTGGGCTTTGTAATATGGGTTTGCCGAGGTGATCACGTGACGTTTTTTCCCGTTCAATCACGGCGTGCTCCGGCTTCAGTCTTAGGGTGCGGCTCGCCTGAATCTGGCATGCTTTTCTCCATCAGCATCACACGTCGCAGACGCGCGTCAGCGCTGAATCAGCCAGTAGAGCGATGCCCGCCCCCTCAGAACAAAGCAACGGAGTCCGCATGAACAAGTCCACACGACCTCCACCAGTTGCGGACATGCAAGAATGCGTGGTGCACGGCTGTTCACAGAAGACGTGGCGCAGTCGTCCGCTGGGCGCCGTTCAGAGGATGGTGCACCCGCAGCAGCAGGTCTGCGGGTAGTCCGGCGCGTACGCTTTCTTCTCGTGGCCAAACACGCTGAAGGTGCCCACGTGCGAGCGCCACTCGTAGTACACCGTCGACACCGGGATCACGCGCACCCGCTGTCTCTGCACGAGGTTCATGCAGAGAGAGACGCATGAGTCGGGTGTAGCGGCGAAGGTATATTCGTCCGAGATTCTCGGGTGGCCGCGAATACAGACACGGTAGGGGGAGGCTTGGGTGTCTCCGCAAGCACGTGCAGACACCCAAGGCCCGTATTCGCAAACCAACCTCAACCTTACCTCGAGTTTCCCTTATCGATGTTAAGCCTTCATTGCGCTTGATGAACAAAGTATAGGCCCGTATGCATGAACCAATCTTGTCATCTTTTACCCTGTTACCATTTCTGTGCCCTCATAACTCCCGTAGAGAGTACGGGAACTTGAGGAAAACGTGAGGTAAGGCCGAGGTTGGTTTGTGAATGCGGGCCTAAGCCTCCTACACAAGTGGTATACCTCGAACATAGATCGGCGAACTCAGTCACGAGTCGACTCACTCGGACTCAGATAGAGCAGTGAGTCCGAGCGAGTTCGGTTGAAGAACATTTTGCCGAGTCTGAGTCCCAGTGAATCCAAAGCGCAAAACATATTTCGCGAGAGAGTGTGCGCGAGCTCCTCAAGTTCTGCTGTCCTATGACCTCGAACAAGCTAAAGAATGCCGTACAACAACACACCAAGGAGTGCCTGAGTAATCCGATGGTTCCAACCGTTCACCAAGATTAGATAGCCCAAGCCTTAGCGACAGCTGGTAGCAATAGATCGCGCAGCACCCGAGGGATACTGGTCGACTCCCTCTACGAAGCGTAATCAGCCTACCTGCGCACATGGACGTCGGCAGGGGGGGGGTGCAAAAGGGGCACTTTCCCCCCTCAAGTCTCACCAGCACTCACCCAAGCTACAGCAGCGCTTTCCCCCTCCCTCAGCCGCGATGCAACACTACTTTGCATCCCCCAAGAAAAATTCCTGTCGACGACCATGCCTACGCATCGGTTCCCCCGTCTTGGTGCAAAAAAGTTTTAATCACTCAAGCGACCTCTGTCTGCTGGTTAGACGGAAGTGAAACGGAAATTTACTAGGATGGATGGATGGGTGGGTGGATATGGCTGTACCCTTTAGATAGGGCGGCGGCTAACGCCTCCTAGCCGTATTACTTAGTGAACAAAAAAACTATAGTTTTACGGTATCTTTTTTTCTTCAAATAGTGAATTTAAGGACTGGAACTTGCAGTGAAGGATTTAATTTTCACTCGTGCCTTGATTGTCGCCGCCAATCAGATAACCTCCCCCTAGTCATTTCTACCCGCTTAAAGTACATTTTGCCCTCGCTGCCCCAGTGCTTTGAAAAACTCTGCGCCATCATCCTGAACTATAGGGTGAAGCCCTTTACAGAACATTCAATGACCAAGTGTTCGGCAGTTTCCTCCTCCTCTCCACACGCACTGCATACCGTGCCTACTTCTTCGTATTTGGTCCGATAAGTCTTGGTTCACAATACTCCCGTCCTGGCCTCAAACAGTAGAGAACTACTCCGAGAATTCTCATAGATTCTTTCCTTGGCAATTTCCTGCTTAAAAGTTCGATGGATCTCTAGTGCCGACTTCTTAATCATGTCTATTCTCCACATGGCGGTCTCCGTTTCCTTCACCTTCTTAACAGATGGTTCTTTTTGGTTTCTTATCATCGCCGCTGCGTTCCTGTTGCCTATAGTCGTTACGTATATTGTTCCCTTAGGTACTCGATCCCATTGCTTATCCATACCCCCAGATATTTGTATTTATTCGTCATCTCTAGCGTGACCTCCTGTATCCTAAGCTCACTACCTTCATTATCATTAAAAATAATGACAACTGATTTTTCCTTACTAGCGAAATCGGCCCGCGCTCCATCTATCGTTAGCTACAGCAAACATGCCGCGCCCCACGCGAGGCGGCGCTGGCGTCACTTGCAGCTAGTTTAATAGCCGACAACAAGGAAGATCTGCGGGGATTGATAGACATCTGTGGTAATGAAGGAGATAGGTTAAATTTGAAGTTCAGCAGGAAAAATCGGCAATCATGATTTTTAATTATGACAAAGGCAGTGAGCATAAGATACAGGAAGTCACGCTGGAAATAGTGAATAAATACAAATACTTGGGCGTATAAATAAATAACGGGGCTGAGTATCTAAGGGAGCACGAAAGATACGTAATGACTAATGGCACCAGGAATGCAGCTGTAATGAAAAATAGGGCACTGCGGAACTACAATAGGTACGGCGTTGTGAGAGGGATTCGGAAAGGTGTCATGGTCCCGGGTTTGACGTTCGGCAATGCGGTCTTGTGCATGAAATCAGAAGTTCAAGCAAGGTTGGAAATTAAACAACGTGGCATAGGTAGACTTGCTTTGGGAACACACGGGAATACCCAAAATCACGGAGTACAGGGTGACATGGCATGAACATTGTTTGAGTGGTGGTGGTGGCGGTAGTGGTTAGAAGATGAGAAAAGGCACCTAATTTCTGCAACCCGGTCGGGAGCACGGCGCAGAGCCTTGTTTGAGTGCAGGGAAACTAGCATCAAGATAGAATTTGAGGAGCGATTGAGAAAAATGGGAGAGGAGCGTTGGGCTGGGAAAGTTTTCAGTTACTTGTACAAGAATAATGTCGATACTAAATGGAGGAAACTAACTCGAAAATTTTCAAGCGAGTATTTAGACAACAGCAGAATACCAAGCCAAAAGGAAACACCGGTTAAGAAGGTGAAGGAAACAGGGAGGGACATGTGGAAGATGGGAATGCTTACGAAATCATCACTGAAGACCTACCGAACTTTTAAGCAGGAAATTGCAAGCGAAAATATCTATGATAATTCACGGGGTAGTTCTCTGCTCTTCGAGGCTAGAACAGGAGTACTGCGGACCAAGACGTACCGAGCATAATATGAAGGCACAGACACGGTATGTTGTGCGTGTGGAGAGGAGGAGGAAACCGCTGTACATTTGATAATGTTCTGTAAAGGGCTCCACATAGTCGAAGATAATGGCGCCGAATTTTTCAAAGCATTGGGATTTAGGGACAGTGAAGACAAAATAGACATTGAACTGGTAGAAATAACCAGGAGGAGGCTAACTGATACGTGGCTATACAATCGAGGCGCGAGTGAAATTTGATCCTTAAATACGCAGTGATAGTACTTAACTTTATGGCTAGGTGGCGTGAGCCACTTCCCGATCTAAAGGACACGGCCGGATACATCCATCCAGTTGGTTGAGGCCACGCAGGGGAGCGTTCAAGCGTGCTGATGGCTGTACATACCGTTTTTGGCTGGCTGGAAATTTTGCTTATTAGTTACTGTAAATGCCCACGGTATAACTTCACCATTCGCTGCAGTCACCTGCGTAGTGTATCGCAAAGCCGATATTGCAAATGAATGACCTCGCATGCCGAAGGCATCCAAAGCGCTTGTAGCTGCAATTCATCACGCGCTATCGGCCGGCCCACTGACATGTCATCACGACATCGAGGTCGCGGATCTTGAGCATAAGGAAGACAAACCTTCCTCAAGCCTTTTTTGCCTTTCTGCCTTTGCGCTTGCACTCAGTCAACGCTATAGCGAAGCAGAGTCCACGAGCAAGTCACCTTTCGCCTGTAGCAACGCTGTAGCAAACAACTGATGTCTGCTTACGTTCCGAAAAACGTTCAGGATTTACTGCGACCTAATTTTAGCGCTCCCTAACTCTTTAACAGGCGCGCCAATAATAAGGGTCTAGGTCACATAGTCTTGCATTGTTTCCTCCGTAATTCACAGGGACCCGAAATCTAAATAAATGTTTCCGAAATGGATCGGGCAGCGCCATAGGCGTGTGCAGGCTTCCCATTCAGTGACGGCGAAAGTTTGTAGCAGCGCGCCTCCCCTCCCTATTAAGTCAATGTATAGAGCAGACTTTGCGCCCCCCCCCTCCCCTTCTTTCTTAGGTGACTCAAAGGGCGGCCGCACCCCCCTGCCCCCCTCGTGCGCGCGCCTATGGGCAGCAACTGCACAGTATATCGCATCGTTGATTCAGATCAACAAAGTTGAAATAAAAAAAATGCCCGAAACAGCGAAACTAACGAAGTAAATAAATATAGAAGTTATATTAGTCGCAAGGTTCGTTCGGGTGAAGGAACAAGGTTCGCGATAACTGGGAAACAGTTCACCGGGCAGCTGGCGTTCGTCACTCGTCGGTTTATTGAAGATCTCGTCAGAGGATCAGGGCTATACAGCGACGAATGCGCCGCCGTGGAAGAGGAGGTCGCTCCGCCTGGCTGCAGATCTTCACAGCGCAGCGCACAGTGAGGCCGAGAGAACTCGCTCAATAAACGGTCGGCCGCTGCTAGTTAAAGGGGCCCCTCATCACTCACGGCCCACGCTCGATCAGTCTTCGCAGAGTCTTCGCCGGGGCGAGCACCACCAGTGCATGGCAGCGCGTGTTTACCGTGGCACGCTGCCACCCAGGAAGGCGGGCCGGACGGACGTGCGCGGCACAACGGTGCCGCGGAAGGCACGGCCTCGTCAAAAAGGAAACACGAACGAAACAAAGCGGTGCACTTGTCCAACGTGCGCTCGACGTTGCTGCAGACTGATGCGTGCAACGATATTCGCGGCGCGCTCCGCGAGTTTCTGGCACGTGCGCAGCAACGCTTTTTTTTAAGTGTGAATACACTTTATAAGCGACCCCAAACCATCCACCGCCGTCGGCGGCGTCCGCAGTCTTCTATCTTTAAAAGAAAGAGGACTTGGCGGGCCGCAGCGCGATGCTCTACCGAATAAGCCACGGACGCGACGCTGATATCGGTGTCAGTAACGCGCCTTATACCCCCCCCTCCCCCTTCGCTCGCTCCTCCGCTCTCCTCGCTCGCTGCAGCTGCGCGCGCACCCCTCTCTCTCGCGCGCCCGCCTTCTCTCTCAGTCTCCCGTCGAGAGCGGGTCGTGAGGGGGAGTAAAGTTAAAATCCGTTGGCATTCGCCAGTGAGTTAACGTAAACTCGCCCGTGTGATCAAACTGCAATTCCCAGGAACCATTACACCATAAAGGCACCATAGTGTGATTAA